GTGGTTGGAGTCGCACAGTAACCGGACCCGGATGAAGTATATTCATAGTAAGGGTTCTCGAATACAAATAGGCAAATATAAAAAGACAAACTGAACTAAAACACACGGATAATAAAAACCGTGACACTTTGGCGAGGGTGTTGTTTTACCGGGGGCTTTGTACAAATGATATTCTGACCTACCAAGCAATCTTTCTTTTATCGTGGTTTAGTATTTGGTTAAAAGGCAATGGGATGCGTAGACGAGTTTATTCTTCATTTACCCTGTACTCTCTATGATTCAAGAAACGCGCAGAACTAAAATCACAAAAAAAATCCGAAACCAGCATGGAACCAACTGCCAGTATCGATATATATTACTGAAAATTAAGATTTTATTACTTATTCCAAGGTGGAGGCAGCGAAATCCGTTTCACATCGTGCCTTGCAGAGTTGAAGCCGACCCTGCCCGTGCTTATCTAATCAGTGAGTAAATAATATCGTTAGGTGGCGATAGCAATCTTTGCCACTTGGTACAGTTATCTCCTCTTACTTTTCTCACTCTTTCGCGCGGTAGTTTCTTCTTTACACTCAAATATAGTTGTCTCTTAGCAACCCGATACCCTATTCTTGTGTGCTCACAATTCGAGGTCTGTGACTGAACAATAGTGCCAAGAAACAGTTAACAATTATAAGACAACACATTGGTGTTGTATCAACAATGCTGAATTACTCAGATAAATTTGGAATTTAAAAAAGCATGAACAGCAAAGGTTATTATTCTGTATATACACCGCCACCATTTATCTCGTTTTCTTTGTTTCTGTTAAAACGTAAGTTAGATTTAAACAAGTAAGGTTAGTTTAATGCTCCATGTTTCTAAACTGGAATGGGGAGAGGTCGATCAGAAATAAAAAAAATTAGTGGTGAGGCGATTTCAAGACAGAGCAGAGAAGAAATGGATATATATATATTATTTTTATCACGGGATACTCAGTAGAAACACACGCCAAAAACATTCACGGCACTAAAAATATTAGTAATTATTTAGTTAGGAAGGAATGTAGATTGCACTAGAAATTGAAATTCTTCAATGGCCAAATATACAAACGTCGGTGCTCCCAACTGTGTGTACCAAGATGGCGCACAACCTGAACATAGCATAGGTATCAGGTTGGGTTCAGGTTGTGCGTCATCTTGGTACACATACTTGCAGCGCGCCCAAATTTTCGATAGCATTCACATCATATTCCGCGTATAAATTATGACTCTGAAAAGTTCTGTGTAAAATCACAACTAACGGCCGTTTAACTTTTGAGGGGCACAACGCGTTTCTACGACAAACACCCGAACGCAAAAAATAATAAGTTTATGAGCAACTTTTTGAGTTCAGTGCATTAAAAGTGATGTCGTTCGAGTGCCACAAAAATTTGTTTGCGGGCCACAGTTTGCCGACCACGGTTATACAAACATCTACCGGAAAGTAAGTAGTTACAATAGTACCAGCAGTAATCGGCTGAAACGAAATATTCCAATATTAGACTCATAGACAACATATATATCCATTGAGTTTGCTTTAATTATTTATTTACTTTTTTTGTTAAACATAAATTATCCATATGATATTATAACACAGTGGCATTTTTATGACCAGCGCGTGATAATCGAGCGGAAATTTGTCACAGCAGCAAAGAATCATTATGGTGTGCTCGATTATTGTTTTTTTTAGTAAAGTTTGTAATACCGTAAGCGTTCTTTGCAAGGCCAAAAATTATTTGCCGAGGAATCAGTTATTCACAATCTCATGGCTGTTTTCCAGATTGCAGTAATAGCGAAAATTTGTACTGAGCAAGTTCGTATATATAATGTACTGTTTAGTCTTTCTTTTATAAAATTTTATAATTTTTCAAGCCGCATTTGCCTAGCGAAGCAATATATATTCATAGGAATAGCACAATTTATTACCATTAACAGAAAGTATATTAGTCAGCTAGGCAAAGTTTACGACTACACATGCAAGGGTTAAAATGCTAGATTGTGATATATTTTGTCAAAGTTTCGAATAAACAGGCGCCATATTCGTTTGCAATGCAATAGATAGGAAATATTTTAAAATGCTTAACATGGGAAGAGGCATATTTATTATTAGTGCTATGCATTTCAACATAAAATTTGTAATTTTGGGCGATTAGAGCGGATGGTTGATTACACCGGAAACGTAAAATATCGAGAAATGAACGTTTGGGAAGTTGTAAAAAATTTCAGAAACGATAAATAGAATGATCGCGCAGAGCGAAATGACAGCCGTCTCATTCGTGTCTAATTAAATTGATAAACAGTAAATATTTCGTTTTCTTTTGAATATTAGAGCACAAACACGCGTATACCAGTGAGTACTTTTGTTGTTTCTCGTTCGCAAAATTTTTGAGAGAGATTTGGCCAAAATGAAAGGTATTTGCACTCACTCAGAAAAAGAGGAGACTAATCTTTAAGCCAAATTACGGGCGCTTACTGAAATACCAAGAGAGAATTATGGTGGAAGATAACGTGTTGGCAAGAGCCGAATTTGGGAAACTATAGCTACGAAACCTGTCTCAGCGAAACGAATAAATACACACAAACTCCCAAAGCTTTTGCGTGTCAGTTATTTAATCTACCAACATTCATAATCGCGATCTCTATTAATTCTCCGTGGCGAGCGACATTGTTGTTTTAAAATGTTGGTTTTATGCCGTAACAAGGAGGCCCTTTGTTAGAGAACAAACAAATATTGCTTCGTTTGACGGGACTAGAGTTAATAACACTATTTGCTTTGTTAGTTCACAAAAGCAGAGGGATTTAAAATTGTAAATGCTTTGTGACGTTTCTATCACATATTACATGCGGTTTGTTAAATTACAATGGACAATAAAAAGTATTACGATGTCATAAAGAGTATTTGCTGGCGTGAAGACGCTACGACATGAGAACGTTCTTCCAAACGAAATTGTTAATTTTTTTGAGTTTTGCTACGCAGAGGATGCGTATTATGAAGAGTCCATTGATCACCAATATCGTAGCTTATAGCAGGTCAGTTGTAATTTGCGAGTTTACCAACAGCAAAAGAAATATATATAGTGTTCAGGTACTGATCACTTTTCTCTTTCGCGGGGAACACTGAAATGCCGGGAGTTACTGAATTAGATAGATTTATAGTGGTACAGAACGCAAAGAAGGCTTATCTCTGAGTGAAGTCCGCCGAAATGGCAACGGCTACTAAAACTACAACGTGGCCCAAAAACGGAATTCTGGCCATTTGGAATATATTGCATGGGTTCCTTTTTTGGGTCGCTCTGAACATGCAGTTAAACTGGGGCAATATTCGACAGTAAATACGATTTTGGGTCTTGAAACTTTGCTCGTATTTTTGTGACACTCTTGTTGTTGCATTGGTCAAACTAAACAAATTGAACATTTTTCGTACGAGAGAATGATTTTTTAGTTATCATGTCCAAATATACAATTGTGACTTTCAGCGAGGTGATGCTGAATTAAAATTATTTTTCTCGCTTTTAAATCGCTGAATTATAAAACTAGAACTGGATACACAAGTTTCAGAATCAGATTTTCATCATGCTTCATACAAAGTATATATTTAAAAATGGCCACAAAGTATATGAGAATGGTCTCAAATCTTTGACAACTAGCCTGGCAAGAACTACAACCGTAGCTTTTAGCGAATTAGTGCAATTGCGAACCGCTTCCCAGTTATCGACTGGTATATACTTTGGCATTTTAAAACTTTATTTATTGTTTGCTCGCTTTCCTGACTATTACCTTTTTATTGCCTTGCTCGCTCACGTACGAAATAAAATTTCGTCATAAGTTTCGCTATGTTACTTAAAAGACAAATATAATAAATTGAATACTCGAGTAAAGAGTTATTTCCGCTTGTCATTTGAAATCTTTGTGTAACCAATAAAGCAAATTATAGCCTTCAGAGAGTTTGTGTCTTTTATCGTTTTACAACTCGCTTTAAATTTTACTTGCGAGAGGCCGTGGTTCGCCATATGGATAAGCCGTCTTATCGGCTTTCCTCTCCCCCGGGATAAATATGTAAATCCTATCCTATCCTATTGGACCGTATCATACGCTAAATTAATAACTACATTGTCGGTCTTTGTTACCTATTTTTAATCTAAAATCCTGAACTGAAAAAATTAAATCTAAGTTGTTTTCCGAACGACCGATTTCCGTTCATCAGCGGACATTCGTATAGGCCCAAAAAATAGAAGCGTAGCTTCCGTTGAGTCAGTGAGTACCTTTAACACTTGTTTGAGTTGACATTTTAGTTAATTTCTCTTGCTCTGCTGAATGATACATTCGAACACAGGTTTATGAGAATAAGTAATTACAAAGTACAAATAAAGAGCATCTCAAATGTGTGCTGATAGACCAGGCGAAACTCAATCGCACTCCACTTATTTTTGGGGGACGGTAGTATTCCATACCTATTCCAGAGAAAAATATAGCAAATTGAATGTCTTAATTTTATAGTGCCTGCATCGTTGCCGGATGTCATTTGCAAATTTTGAAAGGGTTAGTTACATGAAAATGTTGTTTTATTTTGTGAGGTATAGAAATTTCGTTACATCTTTACATTTTAGAATACCATTCTATAATATTTCATCATATTCTTGCAGCCGAATAGTTGAATTTTAACATTTAATATGAAACTCACAAACCTTATATACTGAAAGTTGTTCACAGAAAAGAATAAAAAGGAATAAAACAAAAAGGTAAAATTTTGGTATTTAAATTCACCTGTTTACCCGAACGGTACTTTGGCATGGAAACTCTTTTTACAACAACTTGTTTGAAACGTACCGTAATTCTTGTGGGTAAATACGATGAAATAGAATACGTAGTAAGCTTTGGAAAAGTTGTTGAAATAATGATATGAAGTAGGACTCGCGAGAAAACTGATAACCGCCGAAAAACATTTCCACTAAAGACATTTTTCAGGTGAAATTGTGTCAAATCCAGGTAATGCATGAATGGTTTCCGTTACCAGGCAACACATCGCGACAATTCATGCGTGTCGCTCGCTGTTTTACTTTTCGCATCTTACAATTTTGGTTTTCTTGGATCTGACGTTTTGTATTCAGCAGAAATAAGATGACACAAGTCGCTTTGCCCGTGAGTTCACAATTTACTATTATGCTATGTTGATCCTGTCCTGCTTGATTACTATTTCAGACGGTTTCTTAGGTCAAAGTTATGCACATAGTTGTGACAGTTTCTCTTTTGGTTACAGTTAATTTTGACAATGCCCAGATTCCAGTGACAATAGGGCATAAATATATACTGTATTCGTTTTCAATGAAGAGCTAACCTCTCGCTTGGTTACTAGTCCTTGACCAGCTTGGTAGAAATCTAGTTCATGATAGGATATTAATATTTGTCCGCTGACACATGATGGCCTAATGATACAGCCAACCATATTTATTCTGGTGAGAAAGCCGAGCTTAGTCATATCAGTCAGTAGTGTATTTTATCACATGCCAAAATGGTTATAGAATATGGTATATAGATAGAATGGTTATGATTATAGAGCCGCTTGGCCTATGAGTGCATATGGCATACCACATCCTCTATTCCAGTTACCAGACCATGTAGGGAATGGGAATACAGGAATAGTCAACCAATGAGTCCGCAATTCTCTGGTACATAATTATTCCTACAAATTAGAACCTGTGTAGGGGTATCGTAGGTGCGATAGCAAGCAGGTGTTATATCTGAATCGCTTTGCGCAGACTGTTGAGCGTTTCCTTCAAGTCAAGGTTTTGGGACTTGAAAAACTTGATGAATAAGAAAAACAGTCTATTCAAGTGTGAACATTATTTAATGTAATATGAAAAGACAATAAGTATAAACTGTGCATTACAAATGACATCATAGTTAGACTCTCATATTTATGCTACCAGGCACTCAGCCTCGCTGAGTGATACTCAAGTGCTGGGAGCGCAAACACTCAATATTTTGAAGTGCTATTCAATGGCTTTCATCGTTTAATGAGTTATTGTTCCATTATAAACAAAAGCTTGTGATGTCAAAATAGTTATGACTATAGGTTTAATGTCGAGATTTCAACTTTTGAAAAGTTACCGTATACTTTTAAAAAGTTACCGTATACTTAAATACCGTATACTTATAAATACAGAAATTATCTGGTTAACAAGAAAGTTTTCAGAACATAACTGAACTAAGTTCCTTATTCTAGAATTATGGCTTGAAATCAATTCTGAATATTTTACAACGAACGCATAATAGATGCTAACTTCTTTTTTATTTGAAATCATAATTTCAATGCAGATATGACAGATTTTTCATAAAAAGCTACTTTATCTGAATTCCTAAAACATATTTTTCAAGTAGTAATATATCAGTAAGATCCCAATAAATTACTTTGAACTCATTATCTGTAACTGGAGTTGAATAAAAAAAATTTGACTAAAAAAAGAATGAATTTTCGATCTCTCCACATTATTTCCAATGTCTCATTGCTGATTTAAAAGCATGTGCAGGGTTTAATTATTCCGAATGCATTTACTTTGCAAGCCAAATCGAAAATTTCACCAATCGACGGGTTTAAAATTATGTTTTGTTAAACTTAGGTGTGCATGAAATTTTTTAATTAGCAATCAACACGTCCACACTCATGTCAAATCAAAAATTTGTTAATTAATAGACTGTCTAAAATAAAGTTTTATTTAACTTCGGGTTCGAATAGAACTCCATGACTTTGCGCAATTATTTTAATGAATTTCTAATTAGCAATTAACAAGCCTAGCACGTGCAGGAATTCACAGATCAAAAGCTTATCTAGGAAATAATTCAATCAATTGAATTTAAAAGTCTTTGTTTACACGTTTTGTTTGAAGTTATTTTTGTCTTCTCTTGTTCCTTTTCCGGTGCGGATCATATATGGCCACATCTATGAATGCTTGTTTTATGCACACCTCACACTTGATGGTCTGAAAAAAGATAATTCATTATTTTTTGTATGTCCTAATTTGGAAATTGATAGTGGTTTGTGACGTGGGCCGTTTGTTTGTACACGTGTTCCTACATATGTTTTGTCAGATGATATACGAGGCTTGTTAGAACATTGAAGGTTGCTTTTTTTAGAATCGACCATTATGAAAGCAGATAAGGGTGCGACAATTTTGGCTGAATTACTGTTGCAGATCAAAGACTTGGGTTCAAATCCCCATCTAGTCTTCACCCACCCATTATGTAGTAAAATTTTCAGCAGTTTTCAGGATATTCCTCTGGTTAGGAAAGAAATATAGGAAGGGAATGAATCAATATGAAAATCTAACTTAATCAGGGCTGTAGAGCCAGAAGTTTGGTTGGGAGTTGCGATCCGGAATTAATAATTACCGTATATGCTCGTTTTACCGCCTGATCTTGATTAAGAGCCCGTTTGAATGGCCGTACCGTGTGAACGAAACATAAAAATGAATATTGACCGGTGCTTGAATACCCGCCCGATGTAAAAGCTGATTTTTCAGTGTTAGAGAACAATAGGAAATATGAAGCGCTTTTATCACAACGCTGTTGAATTTTAAGCGCTGGTAAATAACACTCACGCCTTAGGCGTCCAATTACATAACAGATAGCATTGATTACGTATCACCGTGGTTCTCAAACTAGGCATCGCGACACCCAAGTGCGCCGTTTCAATATTGATAGGGCGTCGCAAAACTTTTCTTCTTTTGCGGATTTTTACCTTCGGTGCGTAGAAAAAGTCAAAATATTTGTTATTCTCGTTCAAATCATACTTGAGAACTGGAAATAACAATATATTAATTATTGTAACGATTGATCTTATCTATATATATATATGTTTTTTAATATATTTTTGTGTATAATTTTACTTTAAAAATAACAAGCGCCCGTGCTTGAATAAAGGCCGGTTTGAATAAGGGCCCGGTTAGTGAGTTTGTTTAAAAAAATATGGGCCCGGGCTACAAAACGAGCAAATAGGGTACCTCCTACTGAGAGTCGTTTTTTCTCTGTTTCCACAGCCTTCCTTGAAGGTAGATGTATTTCAACTACATAGCCTCGCTTGAGGGTAGATTCGCAATAAACTACAAGAATGTAGAAAACCGCAATGTTTTATGGATTGGATATTAACCTCACCGTTTTCTTTTTCTAGCTTCCGAGGGCGCAATCTTTTCCGTTGTATACAAGAGAAGCAATGGCGACCGTGGCACCACGTCCTTCCACTAGAGGCAGTGCGAAACAGAAGAATGCCCCTCCCCCTCGTGTTGGGCCGGGGAGTAAATTTGAGTCCGTCCCGACTACAGTTTCCAGACATATGAAACGATACAGCAATATGATTGTAGTGGATTTTGATACGGTTAACTTGAAGGTATATTTAATGAATGATTTTTTTTTATTCAATCTGTGGCAAAGGAAAGATAGTAAGCGAATGTGTTTGAAACGGGAAATGTTTTCTGATCGGGCATAGTGTACCCAAATCATCACAGCATGGGTGAAGGGAGCATGGCCAGGTGGGGGGTTGAGGGCCGGAAGTCCCCCCCTCATTTGAAATGTAAAAAAGGTTTTTTCTGTAACTTACATAGCAATTTTTAATAGCTTGAAATGACCCTCAAAACTCTTGAAAACCCACAATATTTGTCCTCCAGTCTGATACAATCTATCTTAACTATTATAATTTTCCAAAGTGTCCTTCTTGACTAAGCTCTGTGGCTTTCAATTTACTAAGCCATTGCACCAAACTAGAAGGCACAGCGACCAGTAATTACTTATCGATTTTAATTGGTAAGTATGTTGATAGGTATTTGTCTGTCTGTCTGTTAGATACACGCGATATCTCACGAAAGCGAGATTGGATCTGCTCCAGATTTTGCATGTGTATTCATCGAATGTCGGACCAGAAGCCTATTGATTTTGGATGAATTATGTCGCATAATTAGCTAGTTATTAATTAATTAATGATAGGACACAAGGTGTCACTATGGAGTAAGAGCGCTGTTTTGGGGATCCCTTAACTTTCGATCGATAAGTCTTCAGTCTCTGACCGTTATTCTCGTTTTATGTTTAACTAAAGCGGGGGTGTGCAGCATTTTTTGTCCGTTGGCCGTATAACCAACCTCATACATCTAGCTGAGCCACACATCGCTTAGCCTTGCAGAAATAAATGCACTGGACAAAAAGCTTTAACGCAGCAACAAGAGCAAAAAAAATTTCTGATATTATTATCCATGTGAGCACCTTAGGATTTTATGCTTGATGGGAAAAAATCGTGTTGATAAAGGCCACATGAAATGACTTGGTGGGCCACCAGTTGCACACCCCTGGACTAAAGGTTTAAATATCTTAACAGCCTTCCTCTCTTCTAAAATAAAATACTTTTGAAAATTCCAGAGCATCCCCGAGGAAGTCTACGCCAATGAAGATCTGATGTTGCAGACCCAGATATTGAAAGCTCAGAACAATAAACTGAAGAAATTGCCCAGAAGTTTGTCTGCTTTGCAAGGCTTGAAGGAAATGGACGTTCAGAACAATGTACTAGGTGGGTATTTGTTGTATACAGAGTATTCTTATGGATCGTTTGGCGAAATTTTGTCGTGAAAAAAGAGTTTTTTTTTCTTAACTAATAGAGCAATAAATTTCAAATTTTCAGCAATTTCAGAAAATTGAAAAGAAAAAGTTGCTAGCTGTTTTTAACCTAGATTTAACTCTTTTATAATTAATGGGTCCACGCCAATGTGACATACATTATTAACTACATTTGAAATTAGTTATATGCAATAATAAATTCTTGACTTAACAAGGAAAAATTTGCATTTGAATATTTACCATCTTACATATTTTTCTGCTTCAAAAATGGAAAATTTTACCGAAAAAAGAAGTTGTAACTATTCAAATAACATTTTCACTCTGAGCAAGGCTTCTCACAAGCAGACATTGTTACTCAATTTATTTATTCAAGTGTCTGCATTGGGTGGTAACCGACTAAGATGACCGTATATGGTCGTATCGTTATCACCCAGTTATCCACCGATAACTGTATTGAGTGTTATTTTTTTATTGATTTTAATCGGTAAGTAAGTAGGTATTTGTCTGTTTGTCTGTTAGATGCACGCGATATCTCACGAAAGCAAGATTGAATCTGCTCCAAATCTTGCATGTGCATTTACCATAGCTCGGACCAGAAGCCTATCGATTTTGGATGAATTTTGTCGTATAATTAGCGAATTATCAATTAATTAGTGATGGGACACACGGTGTCACTATGGAGTAAGAGCGCTGTTTTGGAAGATCCCCTAATTTTCGATCGATAAGTCTTCGGTCTCCGACCGATATTCTCGTTTATTTGTTATTGTATCATCATTATGTTTTCTGGTTTGAAAAAAAATAAATCCCCTCTCTCTCTCAATACCGCCAGTATTTGCAACTAAAATTGCGAATGGGATTCATGAGTGAGTCTTACTCTGCAACCACTGGATCATCACAATAATTTTTCTTCAATTCCAGGTGCAATACCAGCCTCGATATCTCGGCTCAAAAAGTTAAACCATCTCAATGCCGCAGACAACAAAATAAAGGCAATTCCTAAGACAATCCACAAAGCCACGGGACTCGAGACATGCGTCATGTCAAATAACAAAATAAAAAAGTTACCGAAAAACATCGGAGCCGCCCCGAACATGATAATGCTTGACGTTTCAAATAATTCTATCAAAACCCTTCCCGTGTCGATATATCGGCTCCCGAAAGCGATCGACGCTTCTGGAAATATGATTGAAGCTCTCCCGACGATTAAAATCACAAAAAAAGCGAAAGGAAACATCGCAGTTATCAATTTTTCGAATAATAAACTCTCAAGATTACCAGAAGATTTGGACAAACTGCATAGATTAACGAGCATTGATGTCTCTGGAAATCTGTTGGAACAATTACCACCGTAAGTTCATAGGATAGGATTTTCATACTTATTTAGGAGAGAGGAAAGCGAATAAGACAATTTAATTACCGGTGTATGGAAGACCACGCCCTCTCATCCAGTTACAAGTTCATGTTAGTTATGGGATTAGATTAGGGTTGCCATATCGTCCGGAATTTAGGGTTAAATTTTGCGTCTGGGAAGAATTTAAAAAATGCTCAAATGTCCGGAATCCAGAATTTAACTGCATCTGCAATCGCTCTGTGCACACTGCTAATACAGAACCTTGTTATTTTGTACCATGTGCATATTTTTTACTACGAGGTCATGAAAATAGTCATGCACTGTCCGGAATTTTGTTTTTTCAAATATGGTGGTTGGATCAAAAGTTATTTGTTTCAGATGCATGAGTTTGATGGTGGAGAAAAGTTGTAATTGACTAAATAAATATTTTATAAGTCAATAAATTGCTTATAGCAGGGGTTCCCAAGCTTTTTTCAAGACGACCCCAAGGACAACTTTCAAGTGTCCTGTGCAACCCCAGGTCAATATATACCGGTATATTTTTCATGAAACTTTAGAGCTTCTTTCACTGTACTTTTGAGTTTGGTCATGTGGTGGTATTAAGTAAAATAAGCTAAAAACAAATAGTGATGTCACAATAAGCACCTATATTTTCTATATCATAAGCATAGTGCGATGCTTTTGAGCCTGTTTTACAGTAAGCCATGGTACAAACTGCTAAATTTAACATAGTTTGTCAAATCTTAGATGATTTGTACATCCATCCTCTACCATACCTCAGCGACCCCACCGACCCCATGACCTGTTTGCGACCCTACCTACTTATCACTCCGAACCAATTTGGGGTCACGACCCCTGCTTTGGGAACCCCTGTCTTATAGAATGGGGTTCCGTAATTACATTAAGGCTAACTTGCAATTAACCCCACAGGATTCTTAACCTACAAACCCTCAAAGGGGAATCAGAGGTACAATGACAAGCATATCACTAACATTTAGCACGCTTGTTAAAATTAAATTTAAATAAGTTTCATATTTTAAACATTTTTATTTCATTTTACAGAGCCATAGGAGCTTTGCGTTACTTGAACAAACTCGATGCGTCTCACAATCAACTGGATTCGATACCCGGGACAATCTGTACTCCTGGTTCTGGATTGGCTGTGATCAACTTAAGCAATAATAGGTGATTTTCTATAACATCGATTCTCGACCAGGGCTCTTTCGAGGGGGGAACGCTAGGCACAAAACTGATTTTACTTTTCACTTTACAAGAAAACTCCTCGTACTTCCTAGTTACTTATCGATCTTGATCGGTAAGTATGTTGATAGGTATTTGACTGTATGTCTGTGTGTTAGATGCACGCGATATCTCACTAAAGCGAGGTTCAATCTGCTCCAAATTTGCATGTGCATTCATCTTAGCTCGGATCAGCCTATTGATTTTGGATGGATTATGTCGTATAATTAGAGAGTTATTAATTAATTTGTGATGGGACACATGGTGTCACTATGGAGTAAGACCACTGTTTTGGGGGATCCCCTAACCTTCGATCGATAAGTCTTCGGTTTCCAACCGAATTCTAGTTTCATTATTTGATTAGATTATTTCGCAAGGTGTTTTCACTTAATAGAGCATGAATTGTTTGAACAGTGCTCCAGAAGTATGCGCATCAAGATGTCGCACAACCTTAATCCTAATCGGTACACACATACTATGTTCAGGTTGTGCGCCATCTTGGTGCGCAAACTTCAGGAGGTCCGTTTGAACATAATGGGATTTGAATCTACCAATAAAAATTACACTAAATACTGCTGTAATGATAAGCAGGTGGCCATGAGGGTTGAAAACCTTCATAAGGGGGCCACGAGGCATAAAAGGTTGGGAGCCAAGCTTTTTTTTGCATTTCTCACCGAAAAAGGCTCTTTTCAAGCAATCTTATGGATATGTGAACCCCTATTATGTTTTTTGAAGGACTGGAATACTCCCTGTTTGGTACCCCTTTTTAAATGTAACCCCCCCACCCCTCATTGAAATGTAGAAAAAAAATATTTTGTATAATACATGACTATTTTTTAGATCCTCCAGATTATCAAAAACTCATGTTTTCGGACACATTAGTGTTACGGTCCAACTTGGCATTCAGAAATTTCAGAACCCTTATTTGAAAATTCCTAGTTACGCCCTTCCTAGAACCCCCCATTCCTAGTTACGCCCTTGAGCTGGATCAGAATTCCTGAAAACCAACTATCACGGCCTCCGAAAGGACGCTATTTGTTACGACCCAGCTTGACTATTGAATATTTCAGACCCCCCTCCCCCCCGTTTAAAAACTCCCGGCTTCCTAACTCTTCAAAATTCTTCATTAAACCTTTTCAAGATTGTACCAACTCCCAGACGGTATCGGTTCTCTCCGAAGACTACGAATTCTGAATCTGGCTGAGAATAAGTTAACTAAACTACCAGGGGATTTCAGTGGGATGGTCTCACTACAACACCTTGATATGTCTGGGAATGAGTTAATATCTATCAATGGAATTTTTGGTGAGTTATGAATATACTGAAAGCAGACTATTAATACAAGTTACAATTATTTATGAAAAAGCATTTCAAGGTGAGACGAGATGTAGGAAACAAGCAGCGGCACCTGTGAGTTATGGAATAATGTGATTCAATTTCACACTGTTAAAATGAAAATGGCTCTGAATCAGGGGTGTGCAACAGGCGGCCCACGGACCATAACTCGGTGACATTTAGTGTGGCCCTTGTCAATGCTTAGATTTTCCCCATTAAGCATAAAATTATAATTTTACAGTTTAGGTTTAAACAGGCGCTCACGGGCGTAAAAATACATACCGTAATGTTTTATTGCTCTTGTCATTCTGTAGAATCTTTTGCCGATTTGGCTTTATTACTGTAATGCTAAGCGAGTGTCCTGAGTCAAGTGTTCCACTAAATTGCTAAATAAAGTTATGTAATGTGAGAATTTTCAATCGGTTTTGCACATGGGAAAACAAAATTTTTTTGTGTGGCGCAGCTGGATGTGTGAAGTTGGCTATATGACCTCTTGATGAAAAATGTTGCGCTCCCCTGGTATAATAGAGCAGTCACTGATGTGTGAGGAGTTTCTATTATTGCAGTGAACCTTCTTTGTTCAGGATTTACCAAACCTTGGGTACAAATTTTCAATGAAACGGGGGAGTTGTATCGTATAGCGATCACATTAATCACATTTCCTTTCCATAATTAATCCTGTTTTTCATATTTGCTCTAGGGCTCCCTCGTCTGGAAACATTACTCGCTCCAAGAAACAAGTTGACAACTCTACCAGATCAATTTGGGGAATTCAGGTTAGATTTTATTATTTATTTTATATCGTCACTACCCAAAAAACACTTATAAAGAGTAGCTGCTGATATCTATTAGAAGACCTGGACTGGTTGACATAATTTTTAAATATAAACTACATTTTAAAAGATCATTCTATTTTGCCAGTATTAGGTTTGCTTTTATATATATTCAGATAGTCAGATATTCAGATAGTCACAATTAATATACCGCATTGCTCGTTTTGTAGCCCGGGCCCATATTTTTTTAACCAAACTCATTAACCGGTCCCTTATTCAAATCGGCCCTTATTCAAGCACGGGCTTGTTATTTTTAAAGTAAAATTACACACAAAAATATATAAAAAAACATATATATATATAATTAAGATCGATCGTTACAATAATTATTATATTTTTAGGAATTAGGAATTACATATTTATCCCGGAGGAGAGGATTTATTTATTTATCCCGGCCTCTCGTCCGGTTACCATTCCAAGTCGGGTATGGGATTAGTTATATTGTTTGTTTTCGGAAGCATGGACTTGGTGGTGGAGGAAGCCGTAACCGACCAGCGGTTACGTGAATCACCCAACGACGGCGAGAAGTCCAGCAATCCTCTCGCACATAATCATCCCTGCATGGGATTCGAACCCACGCAGAGTAATTAGAGGTGCGGTGGCGAGCCTATTACTAACGCTTAGCCCGTTGAGCCACACCGCCGCGCCTCATTTATTGCCATTTCCAGTTCTCAAGTATGATTTAAACGAGAATAACGAAAATTTTGATTTTTTCTACGCACCGCATGTACAAATCCGCAAAAGAAGAAGAGTTTTGACGCACTTGGGCGTCGCGACGCCCAGTTTGAGAACCATGGTGTTACAAAACCAATGCTATCTGTTATGTAATTGAACGCCTAAGGCGTGAGTGTTATCTACCAGCACTTAAAATTCAACAGTGTTGTGACAAAAGCGCTTTTTATTTCCTATTGTTCTCTACCCCTGAAAAATAAGCTTTTACATCGGGCGGGTATTCAAGCACCGGCCCTTATTTATTTTCATGTTCTGTTTACACGGGCGGCCATTCAAACGGGCCCTTAATCAAGATCGGGTGGTAAAACGAGTATATACGGTATGCAATTCTTCTTGTGGTCTTATCAGCACCAGTAAGATTTAAAAAAAATGTAAATTAGTTACAGACATTTTTTGGACCTCCAGAAGTATGCGCACCAAGGTGGCGCACAACCTGAACATAGTATGTATGTACCGATTAGGATTTAGGTTGTGCGACATCTTGGTGTGCATACTTCTGGAGTACCCATTTTTGCATAAGACAAATAAACTATTGCAAAGTTTTTCGACCATTTGAAACATTTTTTTGGAGCCCATTCCAGCAAAAAAGTTAAAAAACCACTGTGCTAGGAATAATGTGAAAATTATTTTACAGGTGGTTGAGGACGGTTGACTTTTCAGAGAATCAATTGTCCGTCATTCCTCATTCAATCGGTCAGTTGAAGGGGCTAAAGTACCTTATTTTACATCACAATAAGATTGAAGAGATTCCGTCCATACTCGGGTTATATCAATTACTGGCAACACTCGACTTGAGCGACAATGAGTTAGTGGAAGCGCCAGAAGACATGAGGAAATTCAGATCTCTGCAGGTTGGTTTTTTGGATTAGTGGTTTCAAAGTTGTATGATCGCGACAAAAGAGGATATTCGTGGGCCGGGAGAGCTCGCAAGAGGCCGATACCGGTGTGTATAATTACGATACTGATATACCGCATATGCTCGTTTTACCGCCCGATCTTGATTTAGGGCCCGTTTGAACAGAACATAAAAATAAATAAGGGCCGGTGCTCGAATATCCGCCCGATGTAAAAGCTGATTTTTCAGTGGTAGAAAACAATAGGAAATAAGAAGCGCTTTTGTCACATCGCTGTAGAATTTTAAGCGCTGGTAGATAACACTCACGCCTAAAGCGTCCAATTACATAACAGATAGCATTGATTACGTAACACCGTGGTTCCCAAACTGGGCGTTGCTGAATAAATGAAAATTTTGATTTGTTGTTTCTTGTTAATAATAAAAACTATGGGTAATATGACGGAATTACTCTTAAGATGTGAATAAATTGACATGGAAAAATGATTGATGTCGTCAAATATTTGTCTTCAAAGATACCGTAATTTTTGTGTATAATTTTACTTTAAAAATACCAAGCGCCTGTGCTTGACTAAGGGCTGGTTTGACTAAGGGCCGGTTTGAATAAGGGCCCGGTTAGTGAGTTTGGTTAAAACAATATGGGCCCGGGCTACAAAACGAGCAAATACGGTAATTGAATTGTTAAAAATATACACATGCTCAAACTTCAATAATGACGTAACAATAGGCGGTACGTTGAAGGCAAAAATATAAAACATAAAGTATTAAACTATTTCCTTCGAGTTCGGCGAGCCATATTAAATTGTTACGTACGCCGACCGTTACGGGCCATAGACAATCAATAATGAAAATATACAGAGATATGAATGGGTAGATTTCTACGAGGCAATCACCCAAACCCAAACAAAAAATCTTCTTAATCATTTCAGACCCTTCTGCTGGCAAGAAATCAGCTTTCTCAGATGCCAAAAAGCTTCAAATTCTTGGAAAATCTTCAAACACTTGACATAACAGGGAATAGCTATGTTACTTTGGTCCCGCCAGATAATGCATCAAAGGTATGGAGTAATTTTGTTTATCGAGGGTTGTCCAAAAATTTGGTTGAACATTAATTTCAAAAATAATAAATCTCCCAATTAGTCCCAAGTCCCACAGTTCTTCAGGTGATGATTTGTTGTTTATTTTCAAGGACATACTTCTTCGAGTTTAACAGACTACTTCATGGTGTGTCCGAATGTGCACCTCAAGTACACAGTTGGACATTTGAAAAGCGTTTTTTAAAGCATTTCGGTTGTGTGTCGAAAGGGAATTTCTTAGTCATTGAATAAAAACTAATTTCCCCTTTTCTGCATTAGCTCCGCAATGTCAAATGAATGTGCAGAATATAGGGGTCAAAAGATAGATAAAAGTACCCCTACTTTCTCCTACATATATATGTATGCATGTACAAATATACATCTGTTTTTTTTCAGGTTCTCACAACATTGAAAATAGCCGGTAACCCATGGCGACTCCCGCCAGGTGCTGGGGAGGATAACAGGAGTTTTATAACAAAGATCCACAGGTGAGTTGTGGTGCCAGGGTTAGTTACCTTTTAGTTTTGAGAACTTTACTGCTTATGCAACTGGATTCTGCAAGTAAAAGACCGTGGTTCGAGACCAAAATGGCCACCGCGAGTAATGTGCTATTCGTAATGTCTTTTTATATTTTTGAATGTTTATGATAGGAATTAAATATTTATCACGTTGGGAGGTATCAGGAAGAAACGACGGAAAAGAGTCCAGCAATTCTTTCGCACATAATTATACTCAACAGCATTTGAAGGGGATCAGAGGTGCAATGGCGATTGTATTGCTAATGAATAGCATGATGTGCAACAGAAAAAATTTCCCATATTCATGCTTAATCGTGAAAGATGGGCAATATTCAAAATTGGGTTTTAAACATGCAGAATGCAAAGTTTAAGGCATAATAATCTACTATCTCTTACAGGGGCGTACGTAGTCAGACTGGGTGGGGTCCTCGTTTTTGGAATGTGAAAAAAGAGCATTTTTAAGCATAAGTCATGAATCACACTTTGCATTCTTATACTATAACTATCTGTATAAAGTTCCGAACAACATACCATAAAACCCTTTTCACTCCGAAGCAGTAAGTTTAAAATCGTAAGTTTGGGCAAATATAAATTTTTCGTAATACGCTTTTTAGACTCTTAAGACATTTTTAAAAACCCCGAATTATGGCTGGACCTGCTAGCTGTTTTGGTCGAACTTGGCAATTAGAAATTCCAGAACTTCCCCTTTGAAAATTCCTGTTTACGCCTTATATAGTCTGAACAATGTTTTCGAGTTGAAAATATCAAATTTTAATTCTGACAGAGAATTGCACATGGTGTTGACCTGTCTTGACTTATCTAACGTTGAAATGGATGAATTCCCGATACATCTGTGCGTCTGCAGACAACTTACTGAATTGAGGGTTGCAAACAATAATTTAAAAGGTGAGTTAGACTAACACAGTTGTTCCGGTGCCACCAAAGTATGCGTTCCAAGATGGCACACAACCTGAACATAGTATGTGTACCAAGTTGTACGTCATCTCAGTACACATACCTCCGGAGCGCCGTTTTTTTCAACCTTTGTTAAATTACCCCCGATTGTCTATTTTGGATTTTATTTCTCATTCCTTCGTCACTTTGCATGAAAATTTTTTCAATGATCTCTATCTAGTGTTGTTATGCACAAGTTGCTCTCACTTTTCTGTAAAGTCCAAATAGTTTATAGTGTGAATAAGTAATAATAAAAAACTAAAAAATACTAAGAAAAAACATTTCTTTCCAAGAACGATAAAATTTCTCCTGATTGGGAAACATGGGACTAACATAAGCAATCCTTTTTTACGAAATAACAAGCTAAATCAAGCAATGTCACAAGAACTTATGTAAAATAAATTAATCGAGGACCATGCTTGGAAGCCAAGTTACTCAAATGGCCGCTAACACATATGAAATGGGCTTGTTTAGTGTGACATCATTACTGACATGTCGAATTCTTCATCAGTGGTTCCCAACTATTTCCAGTTAATCTTCTTTACTTTGTGCAAAAATTGATCAATCTTTAATAAATTCTTATCTAGTGTTATGCATGTGTAGTACTCCCACTTTTGTACAGTTTTAACATATCCCCACATTGGAAAACGGTAAATTACATGATCATGAGTCAGTCAATTTGCTTATCATGAGAAAACTATGTCATTTTTTTCTAGTTCTTCCGACAGAAGTTGGAAGACTCAGAAGCCTTCAGATACTCGATGTTTCTAATAATCATATTGAAGGTAGGGCGACTATTTTGCTTCTTTTGCTGTATACAAGTTATTGAGCAAGGAACTTCTCACCAATTTCCACCTTGTCAGAATAACACTTTGGCCCAAATTTGCCCGCTCTATTCATTACACTCTGATTTTGGTATACTTTGGATGATAAAAACGCTAATTTATAATTAAGAGCTCCCAAAACTTTCAGCTCGCGATCCCTCCCAAAATATTGAGATTTTCCGCAACCCCTGTAAAGTCGGCATTGTTATGCTATGCCAGCCCGCTGCTTTGCTTATTCTATGTATTCTCTAGAAATTGCAAAATTCATGTTTGGCACTAGTTTTGATACTTGTGTGTTTGAATCAAATATCTAAAAAAGTGCAATAGATATAATACTTTGTGAAAAATTGGTGTACTTTTTCTGGCCCCTAAAGTTCGGGCCCAGTTTGGGAATCCCTGATACAACAACACGTATAGAAAGTGCAAGAGGATAGAATTTACATATTTATCCCGGGAGAGGAAAGCTGATAAGACGACTTAACCATATGGCGAACCACAGCCTCTCGTCCGGTTACCAGTCCATGTTGGGTATGGGGTTGATTAGTCAGTTACTTGTTTTCGGAAGCATGGACTTGAGAGGCGACCAACCCACCCAAGCCATTTGAAGTGGCCCTTGTCAACACCCTAATGCAATTCATAATATCAGTAGAATGTTGTGCAAGTAAAAAATTATTGGACCTCCTGAAGTATGCGTACCAAGATGGCGCACAACCTGAACTCAGGTTGTTTACCAGGTTAGGGTTCAGGTTATGCGACATCTTGGTGCGCATACTTCAGGAGTACCAAATTATTTTATTTTCAGTTATCCCAGAGCAAGTTGGACGACTCTTCCATCTTCGAGAACTGAACTTCTCAAAGAACGAAGTTTTAGTTTTCACGCCTTCTCTTATACACTTGAGGTCGCTACAGACACTAGATTTGTCGAAAAATCAGATCCGAGTTTTGCCAGAAAATTTCGGAGATTTGAAGAAATTGAAATACATGAATTTATCAGGCAATATACCGTATTTTAAATTGTTTGTCCATACATAAAAAGCGCACCGGTCTATAGGACGCAACGATCCCGAAGAGGGTATCGGGTTATCAAACAAAGCTCATTAAATGAAAAATTTAATATCTTTTATGCTTATTGACTGTATTTTATTTAGAAAAAATTTTTTTTTTTTATGGGAGGGTGAATTTCTAATTGTTAGTCATGAGTTTTGAAGATCTAAAAAGCGTTTGAAGCTGCGAAAAATTGCTGTGTGTGGAACACTAAAAGGGGGGCCCGACTTGCAACCCCATTTCTGCATATTAAAGCTACTTGCGCAGCAGAGCCTTTTTGTTAATGAAGCCTCATGCAATCTTTGTTTTAGGCAACCGACTTCCAACTATCCCGAATGATCGTATCGATGTTTTGGCCTCACTGATCGAACTCAACGTCTCGGATAACAGAGTAAAGGAAGTCCCGATGGATTTGCCTTATTTGTATAGAATGCAGGTAAGTGGCATTTTACACCTGTGGTTTTCAACCATTTCAGTGAAATGGAACACAATCAAACATTACAGTGACTAGAGGAACCCCATAGTCTAATTGTCTTATGCAAAAAAAAAAAATCATAACACTCTAAAGCAAGAGTCTCGAACTCGTGACGTGGGGGCTAATTGCTGCCCGCAGTTCGATAGTTTGTGGCCCCCCGCCTTAGTATGAAAGTTCTATGTTAGCATGTCACGTAGCTCCATCCGCATGATTAATACATTTAATATAGGTTATCAGATTTTTGTCGTCAAAATCACTAATTATTTTGTCTTAATTTGTTCATTTATGTTTACAACCTGTTTTCTGTTTGCAAAAAAAAAAAATTTCAGAAGATTTGAATTTTTTAAACTAACCTTTCAAAAAACTTTCATTGTGGAAAACGGCCCAGATCCAAACTAACTCTGCCCCCATTGGCCCCTAGGTAAATTGAGTTTGAGACCCCTGCTCTAAAGCAAGCCTTAGACAAGCAAATAGTGGTAATTTGGTTATATTCAAATAATATACATATAATAATACAGACTTTTGAATTGGAATGTAAACTTGTGGAACCCCTGGGGTTAACCCCTTGGGGTAACTCCGGTCGACAACCACTGGGTCAGCTAAACACAAGCCCGACATATGACTAATTACTTTTCTTTCCCACCAGATAAAAATTAAAAATCATTTTCTAATTATGATGAAATATTTTAGTTTCTGAATCTTCATACAAACGATATCACTGGGCTCCCTGGCGACATCTGGAGGATGAAATCACTCGAGAAACTCGATCTTGGCGACAACTTGATTGAATCGTTACCAGAAGGGATTGGGAAACTACCTGTTGCCAAGGTGATTTTTCAGACTTTTATTTTAACGAGCAAATACTAAACGAAAATATCGGTCGGAGACCGAAGACTTATCGATCGAAGGTTAGGGGATCCCCCAAAACAGCCCTCTTACTCCATAGTGACACCATATGTCCCATAACTACTTAATTATATGACATAATTCATCCCAAATCAATAGCCGTCTGGTCCGAGATATGATGAATGCACATGCAAAATTTGGAGCAGATTCAACCTCGCTTTCGTGAGATATCGCGTGCATCTAACAGACAGACAGACAAATACCTATCGTCATACTTACCGAACTTAAGATCGATAAGTAATAACTAGTGCCGCTTTGGTTGGGAATGTCCTAATTTACTAAATTATAATTGGTTCGACGGTTAGCACGAATATACTTGCCATTGCATCGTTGGGGTACATCGGTTCAGTCAGGGGTATTGGGCACAGGGACGCAGCCAGGAATTTAAAAAAGGGGGGTTTAATATCGAAAATTTCTGTGCCACAGGTTTTAGAACACTCACCGCAATTACACCACTTCTAAAATACCTGATTTTCCTAATAGATAATGATTCCAATAGATAAATGATGATAGATAATGATATCTGTTGTGTAAAATATTCAATTCATGACAACTATGAGCATTTAAAATATCTTTCTGTTTTAATTTAAGTTTGTTCAATGTAACTCGCCGTTGGCTGACTTACACAAAATTAAATCATTACTAGTATAGAAAGCAGCCTTCGACCGCAAAACCCTCTTTGCTGTGCCACTCATCGTACCCCTTGACTACAGATAGGTGAGAAATTCTGACGTCACACTTTTCTGACGTTTTATTAAAGCCTACATTACATTATGCTGGTTCTGACATAGACATAAAAATTTGTTACCAGGAAATTGATGTTTCTGACAACAAGATCATGACCTGGCCAAAATGCATGGTGACCTTGAGATCAAAGGTTAAAGTTGAGGAAGGAACACAAAACTCAAAGAAGGTTCGACCTCTGAGAGAAGACGAGGAAGAAGAGAAAAAGGAAGAAGGTTGGTGGTCATGCTTCATTAATTCTCTCATATTGGTTAAGAGAAAACATTCGAATCTAGATCTAGCGTAAGGTTTTTGGACCATAGGCCAGAAATTTTCATGCGAGTGTGACGTAAGAGTATTATGACGTAACAATATTTACAGTGTTACAAAAGCAAAAGTGGAAAACAATAAGCCTCGTGCCAAAACTTAATTTACTCGCAATCTCAACAAATTTTTTGAGCTATTTTTTAGCTAAAACATTAAAATTTGGTTTCAGTTTGGCTGTGGCAGCATCAGATGGGCCGGATTTTGTCTTGCAGGCTCAAGTTTGCCCATTTCAGGTCTAGATCCAAACTCACTCAAATTTTCTTATGTAACTTCTAAGAATCTTGTTTAAAGTAAGAATGTGAAATTAAATTATTTTTTTTTGTTTTCAGCGGAAGAAAAAGAAACCAAAGGAAAGAAAGGAAAAGGAGGGAAAGGTTAGATTTACTGAATTTATGATTTTGTTTTGATTGGGTTAGTGCAGCAAAATAAATTGATAAAATAGGACTTATTGTGAGAAGATTTCACAGAATATGCTCTGAGTAAGATATGGACAAGCTGCCACTGATAAGTCAGTTAAAACGAACCTAAAAATGCTAAATTAAGTTTCAGATAGTAATAATTGATACAAATATTTTTCATGGATGTCACTTTGGTATGCGTCACTTGCTTAACACGATCTTAATCACTGTGGCATCTCTTTAGTATGCATTTAATCTTACAAAGACAACCAATCTATTTATTCGTCAACACAATATAAAAGAATTATAGGAAAAAACGGCACTCCCGAAGTATGTGCACCAAGATGGCCACAACCTGAACCTTAACCTGGTACACATACTATGTTCAGGTTGTGCGCCAATACTTCTGGAGGTCTGAAAAAATATTTAAAATACCATATCTTCAATAAGATATCCAAACACTGAATTCAGTTCCTAACTCTAAAATAACTAAAATCACCTTTTTAAGAACAACGTACAACTCCTTTCAGGTTCTCGTCCAAAAACTGCTGAAAATGGGAAACAAGTTGCAAAGACCAGTCCGAAATCACCACGGAAACGTAAATGATGTCATCAATGACATCATAATATGCTTGAGAAGCAATTGAATTGTTTTGTAATAAATACTGCACCCATTCACTGTCATTGTTTTATAATAATTATTTCATTATTTTATCTTAATTAAACTAACACAAATCGCAACACTCAACTGAAATTCAAGGAATTCAAAAAAAAAATCTTCAACACCAGCTAGTGGCTGGGGGGAATCAATAATGCCGCTTGCTTATAGAAAACAACCTGCCAATGGACTTTAAAATTATTATCAGTTTTTGACGCAAAATCAATTGCGAATAATGAATTATTTTAGAGAGTAGCCATTCCAAGCTTACTTATTAAAACTTACATTTGTTACAGCTTTTCAGATATTTGGCTCGCAGCACTAGATAAAACAAAATAAATTCTGTAGTAAAAATTTTTCCTCTAAATCACTCTGGTTCTCTCAACCAGTGGGCCATGGTTGGGCCACAGAAAGAAGTTGAGTTGGCCACAGAAATATTTAAAATTGCTATTTGTATCACTATACTTAGTTTCAATTGTAGTACCAATGATTGACGATGCTGTTTTCTGCTACTGTATGGTCATTTTAATTCTAATTAAAAAAGGGAAAGTGGGCATTTTCACAGAAAGATTTTGATTTTTCACGTAGTTTTTCCCTCGCAGAAAAAATTTTAATGGGCCACAAAAGAAAATTTTTGAGAACTACTGCTTTAAATGATAGACAAGTTCTCAATATATCTTACTTAGATCTGACAGCGGCACTCGAATTGGTGTGAACGCGTATATAATTGGGCCTAGCGCATTATCCGCTGGCCATTTATAATCACAATTATTTTTTTACTGATAAAACAATTTTATATCATGTATAGTTCAATTTAAGCATTATGTACAAAGTAAAAATCTATATTTTTATATAATTAACGTTAATTATCACAGATTTTTTATTCTCATTTTCTATTCAGAAAAGCCCAGATTTTACGTGAATTTGGGAAATGGTTTAAATACATGGTCATGCTGAAATTCATATTCTCTTCCTGAATGTTTATAATCAGATGAATGAGGCAATCTGCTTAGAATCAGGTACCCCGTAGTATGTGAACCAAGATGGCGGACACCGGAACGTAGTATATGTACCAGGTTAGGGTGAGGTCATAATTTCAGGTACAAATACTACGGGTGTCACTTGGTTAGTCCCCGAACATGTAATAGGACTAAAATAAGGAAAATTGGAATAAAACACTCCGATGTCTGCCATCATGGCTCACATAGGTATATCAGGAGTACTCAGAAGCAGGCTCTGCTAAGCATAGACAAGAAAGCCAGGTTCAGTGTGACAAAGTCTGATCAATGAAAGCTAAAAAATTAAATTAAAAACAGGCATTTCTTTAAATAAAGGCATGAAATACTTAATTATGCGAGAGAATTCTTTTCTTGTTTACAAAGACTAAATCTTTTTCTACTGCAAAGTCAATGTCCGAGATTCTGAAACAACTACAGTTGAAAATTTTTTACTGTGACTCCGGACTTCGTTATTTTATTGAGTGTTCTCATAAGACACCAATATCAGCAGCGAAGAATTAAATTTCACAGATCTGGGGAAAGCATTTACGACGCTAAAGATTGGTCCTCTATTTGGATTTCTCTGCGAATCTCAGTTACTTTAGACTGGTCCAGGGTTATTATATACTGATGCTTGCCATCAACATTATATATAGCCAATGTAAAAATTTGGGGAGGGTGCAATTTCGCTACTCGACAAATTTGAACCTTTAAAATAACAACACTATTTCGGCAAAATTGCTACAGTACTAAAGCATTTGGAAATAAACTGTAAAACGGCTGAATAACGGTACAGATTCCAGTAGAGTGGACCTAAAAAAAGGAAATGGGGGGTTATGCAGCCAGTTTTAATATATATTATTTTATTAAAATAAGATTTTAAGGCTTTGTGAATGGACCTTCAGTGAAAATAGTTGAGTAGCCCAGATATAGAGCACAGCTGCTAAGAAAGGATCTGAGTTTGCTTTCTGTGCCCAAAATTACTACTATAGCTTAGCAGAAGTTATAAAACCAAGAACAAACCAATCCTGACAACAGTATTGACTTTTGTCACCACCTAGCACTTACGATAACAAAGCGTCTATTTAGATAAAATTTAACCCACTGCTTCACAACATACACAAGATTTAGGAAAAGACATACCAGCTCTATCTAATGCTAAATTGTGAGAAAAATGTCTTTTGCAAATATCATTTATTTGAAACAACTTAGCTAACTAAACTAGGAATATCCAACTAAACTAGGAATCAATTTGAAATGATTTATTCACTGGCCTATGTTGCATTTAAATCTTACAGCAACAACACTGCTAATTATGATAACTCAGAAACATTGCTGCGCTACTCGGGAAATTTGAACCTTCAAAATAACAACACTAATTCGGCTAAATTGCTACAGTACCAAAGCATTTGGAAATAAACTGTAAAACGGCTGAACAACGCTACAGATTCCAGTATAGTGGCCCTAAAAAATTGAAATGGGGGAGCTGAGGGTTATGCCCCCTCCCCACCCCCTCATTTTCAATATATATTATTTTAAAATGCAATTTAGCGGCATTTGCAGCAAGACATAAATTCTTACACCTTTCCCAAAGCCATTTTACCCTACTCTTGAACAATTTACTGCTCTTACATTGGATCCAATTTAAAAACATTGTTCAGATTTTTCCTATCAATCTAAAATTGGAAAGCACACTGAATAATATTACATTGTAATCCACAGTCTTCACTAGCTTCGGTCGGAAAATAAACTAATTTGGGACATCAAATAAGCGCAACACTAGAAAAGTCCTGATCTATGCTATTAATGAATGTTTTATGTGACTGCATCACCTTAATTTCAAGTGCACTAAGGCATGATCCGACTCTAAACACATATTGCACTGGTCATACAAACAGTCAAAACCAGTAGAAACTCACATTTAACTAAAGTCCCAAAGTCAAAACCTATACCAGGGATGGCGAACCACTGACCCGCGGGTCACAAAGTGACCCACCGCGTTTTATTTGTGACCCGCCCAGCGAAGGCACGAATAAAATAAAATGCTAATATATCAGTGATAAAAATTGATAAAACCGGCCTTAAATTTTTTTTTTTTTTTTTTTTTTTTAAACGCTCACAAATGTGTTAAATGTTAAACTATTATGATGTACCGTCAGTTGGACAGTCAGGGAGGGCTGCGATCGCTCATATTCAAAATGTTGATTTTCGGGCCGGTACGGTAATTTTTAAAACCGCTAATCTTGTACGCATGAATGCACCGCCGTGTACCGTTATTCAACTATTGGGCCTGACATCGTTTATGACATAACAATGCAATTGATCTGTTCATTTCTCGCAACGCCTGTCTTTTTGGAATTGCATCTGCAGACTGTTTTAGGGGTTATACGAGAACTAGATGCTACTTTGCATTTAATTAGTTTCTCGCCTACAATGCCGTTGTGAAAACAAAATCTTTCAGACTTGAAATAAAAATCTAGAAATCTGATATTACAATGGGGCAGTGTAAAGGTGCCTTAATGTGGTTGGAAGCTGATCCAAAATTTTAACACTATCAAAGCGGAATTACCTCCAAACACTAGAACCGTAAAATAATTTAACGCATCATCCTAAACGTTTTTGGTAATTCATATGCGTTTTTTTCGTACTCTAATATCATAAAACCGAGGGCCATAAAAAGTCCCTGATAGAAGTGCTGCATAAGTAAAGCCCAAAACTACACCAACACCAGCTTATAAGATTCGTTTCAGAAGTTTCTAGTAGATACAAATATTGATTAAATAGCTGTGACCCACTCTCTTCTGTTCCGCGATAAAATTATAATTTTTGACCCATTCATTGAAAAAGGTTCGCCATCCCTGACCTATACCATGGTCTAGCCGCGCAGTGGTTCCCAGACTGGGGGTAATTACCCCAAAAAGGGTAATGTCGGGGTAATCCAGACAGCCAGTGTTTTAACAATTTCTTTTGTGAATCCGTACTTTTGGAAAGTCTATGAAAAATCTAAACATTCCATGCTCGCATCTAATCAGTGAGTCATCTAGTCGCGCACTTCTTAGGGACATAATAACAATACTTCGTCGTACAGATTGCATGCTAAATTGCTGAGGTAGTGCAAGTTTATCATCTGAAAATCGGATGATGCAATAGGTGGTGTTAGTATCGCTATTGTTAGTCAAAAAATACGGTATTTTTAAGAAAGGGGTAATAGAGCTTTTGATAATTCGATTTAGGGGTAACAATATCAAAAAGTTTGGGAAAACACTGGTCTAGCGGACTGACGAAACAGAATCGTGATTTTATTTTTTAAGAATATGAATTTGAGAAGATAAAAAAGATGTTATTAGTTTGAGTTTTAGAGAAGTCACAGCCTCTCTTCCAGTTATCTGTCCATGTCGGGTATGGGAGAAGTTAGCCAGTTGACTTAATGGTGCAGAAACCCATAACCGACCACCACCTAACGGCGGCGCGAGGAGTCCAGTAATGCATTCACACAACTATCCTCACATGGGATTCAATCCTCTGAACAAGGCTCTGAAAAGCAGCCATTGAAACACATGGAGAACGAAACAAAAAGGATCGAAACTCTTTGAGAATGAGATTTCAACAAACATATTCTTGAAACGAAAGTGGGTACTCCAGAATTATGCGCACCAAGATGTCACATAACCTGAACCCTAACCTGGTACACAACCAGAGTTCAGGTTGTGCGCCATCTTGGTACGCATACTTCATGAGGTCCCAAAAGTGTATGTGCACAGCTGTATATATATTTTGTTATACAAACAAATAGTAATACAGAATTTAATTTAAGTGGATACTTACTTTCAACTAATGACCTTGTATCCCTCCTCCCAAGGTCAAAACCTATCCTGTGGTGTGACGAGCAGAATCACAGTTCATTCTTGATAAGATGGATCTGTGAGAATTAAAGTATGCTATGATATTATTAGGTTGAATTTTTCTGAAGGTTTGCTCAAAACAAATCCCCAAAGATGATCTTTTGTATGCGCAGTTCTCACATTATCACTCTGAAGGAGGAAGAATCTAAATTTATGGAACAACTCGAAGAATGAGATTTTAGCAAATTGGGTCTTTGGATTAAACTGTATGTGTAGGGCAGAGCTGTGTATATATTTTGTTAACAAAGAATAAACGAGAATATCGGTCAGAGACCGAAGACTTAATCGAAAGTTAGGGGATCCCCAAAAACAGCGCTCTTACTCCATAGTGACATCCTGTGTCCCATCACTAATTCATTAATAACTCTCTAATTATACGACATAATTCGCCCAAAATCAATAGGCTTCTGGTCCGAAATATGATGAATGCACCGATTAAAATCGATAAGTAATAATTGAGGTTATGAACACATGAACAATGGAATCGAGTACTTGTGCCGCAAAAAAAAACAAGTTTGAATCTCTCACCTCATATTTTGTGCACATCTTTTTTATAATTAATTGTGCTCGGTTAGAAGTATTCAGCCGGAGCGTATTATTAAAGTCCCAATATTCGGTATTTTTCAAGTTGCTATGGAAAATACATGCGAAAACTTGCTCGTTGGTTCCACCTAGCGGTTTATTATTTCGATCTACAAGGCTACACAGGTAGAGCACTATGATGCGCGTACCGTTTAAAACCCCTGGGAGTCTCATATTCGCCGGGATTCCTGGAATACTTGTCAGTGAAAGGCGATGCACGTAATCGCTGCTCCGATACAGATAAATGCGCCAGTCAAAATCATGCATTTGAAAATATCAACTGGTAAATTAACATTTCAATAGCGGGACCTAACCTGAGCTACCAGCGCGACTTGACGATGGCAGTACCGTGAGTCGTATCCGATTCCGAAAAATTCAAATTTTTTTACTTCAACGAGTTAGGAGTTTGCCAATGCTTCAAGTACTTTCCTCGGAACATTTTATATCACTCTGATATTTTTTCAGCTTTGTGATTTGAATTTGGACACAAACAGTTATATATGTGCGCCGGTTAGATGAGACTTTGGACATGAATTTGAATTGAATAAATTTATTGGCTACTTTCAGCACCTCCTCGGGCCGGCAGGATGATATTCGTGGCGTCATTTACGAAACAGATATATCATACCTACGTAACTCCCGGGAGCAGGCTTATTCATAGAAAAGATCACGGCCTTTCGCCCGATTATCAGCTGGATATAGTATAATTAACCGGTACTGTGCTATCATGAAGGCAGTTTCTTCAATTTTTAACGATCGCTCCATCAGACGCACATTTTCCTTTGAGCTTCTTTTAACCTAATCCCCAAATTTTTCTACTGATAAAGGTTGAAGCTCATTGCTTTAGACAACTCGAACTAGCGAATGACGTGTGACAATTGAGGCATTTTCTTCCAACATGTTTTTTTTGTTGGTCACCTTGTATCCAAAGACTGGTGGTTCTGCTACACTATTTTATAAAAATTTGCTTTATTATAACTAATACACGAATCTATTTCAAATTTCAGTGTTAGAGGGTGGAAGAAATCGCCAGATAATTCTTTAACCAGAAATTTTGGCAATATTCTTATGACATTCGACCCTCTATGTCCAGATATATTATGTTTAAACACTGTCAGCCCTCTCACAAACCCGTGCATGTGAACAATAAGACCAGAGTACATTCAATCTCCATTTCAATTAAAATATCAGTCAATACATGTAAAGTTTTGAAAATATATGTCGTGCACATTTATCAGTTGCAGTCGGATAACCAGTTGAACACTTTACTTTCATAAATACAGTCTGTTCGAGATTTATATATTCATTTCTGAAGAAAGGGAAGATGCTTATTCAGATGGCTGACCAGAGCCTTTAATTCGATTACCAATTCAGATTAGGTATGGGAAGAGTTGACCAGTTATTTGTTTCAGACGAATATACTTCGAAGTCTAAATATAGGGTGTCCATAAAGTCCTAAAATTGCACAAGGGGAATTTATCGATACCATATATCGTTTTGGCCCTCACAGATGTATTAAATGAAGTAAAAATACTTGGACAATTACTGATTAAAAAACAAATTGAGAACTGACTTCATACCAAGATTGAAATGGGACTTTATGGACACCCTGTATTTAAATTTTGTTCAACAGGAAATACTCCTATACAGTACCAAGAGCTAAAGTTTTGCATCATATACGGACATTTGTTTCTTACCCATAAATATATCTGAGAATGTCATTAGCTGTATTCTTTTCACTTTGAGTTGGGGGCCAAAGACCTTGCTTTGAGAAAACTTGCTCATTGTTCAACCAGCGGCTCAAGTTTTGTGAATTGGCATCGGGGAAGCACAATAGTCCCTCTAGTGACAATCATCTTTTAGGCCTCTCTCAAAAAATATTAAATTCAACACAATACCACTACAGGTCAAAATAAGAAATAATAAGGAAAGAAACAAGAAGATAATGGTACATTTGTAGTTCATTGTGATGTCATGGTAATGACAATTGAAGAGTAACGATAGGTTATTATAATAACACAAAGGACTTGATTATGAGCGATTTAAAGGGATCATTATGATCCAACAAAGTAGTTTTGGCAAAAGGAAAAAAAACTGGGTATGTAAGTAAGGTAACAGAGAACAAAATTAATTTTCTCAAAGAGACTTTTTTAGGATGACGGTAACCTTGCTTATGATGTCCGAGGCTTTTAGTTTATACCTGGTCGAGTGTTATTTTGATTAGTAGATTCTAAATCCCAATATAATCAAACAATTCATACTTTATAAAGTGAAAACCCCCTGTGAAATAACCTTATCAAGCAATGAAACTAAGAAGAACAGGGTTTTCTTGTAATGAAAAGTAAAATCAGTTTTGCACCTAGCATCGTGGCCCCCTCATAATGCTCTCCCTCTTGGAAGGCCAAGGGCTTTGGTTGGGAAATGCTGGTCTAAGACTTCAACTACTGGGGAAATTGATAGTATTGGGTAGGGGGAGTTTTTATGTCAGTAGATCATAGGTTGTTTTATACCACTATCGCACCAGAATTGTCAAATGCGGATGCATATAGCAAGGTTTCGCTCAGTGTTTGTCTTGTGTAATTGTTTTATACCATGTTTTCAAAATAAATTAGCTGTAAATCCAATTGAAAACAAAAATTTAAATCTGATGATAGTCATTTCCTTTTGTTTTATAATATTCTATGACATCATTGACCGACATACTAATAAATTGTGATCAAATAATATCAGTTTTGACAATCTTCCTTCACAAATATGACATAATGAATACTGCAGAACAAACTATGACATCATTTATTGAAGACTTCAAACAAATCCAAGGATCGCTGTGTCATATGACATCATACATCCATAAATCGCTGAGTCACTGCTTTGAATGGTGCATTCCACATTTGCTTCAGATCTCCCTAAAATAAATGAAATAGAAAATATTGCCAGTCTTGAAAAAACAATCAAACCTCACGTTCATTTTAATCAAAAAAAAGGGGTGTTCCTGAAGTATGCGCACCAAGATGTCGCATAACCTGAACCCTAACCTGAGACACAACCGGGGCTCAGGTTGTGCGTCATCTTGAGACACAACCAGGGTTCAGGTTGTGCGCCATCCTGATACACAACCGGAGTTCAGGTTGTGCGCCATCCTGAGACACAACCGGAGTTCAGGTTGTGCGCCATCCTGAGACACAACCGGAGTTCAGGTTGTGTGTCATCTTGGTGCGAATACTTCAGGAGGTCCAAAAATCGAATGTCTCTTAACAAGTTTATTATGTGGTCATATTTGGAGGTCGGAAACACCTCTTTTAGAATGTAAAAAATAGCATTTTTTTTGTAACATACACAGCAATTTTTTGCAGTTTGAAACGCTTTTTAGACCCTCAAGACCCCTCTCCCCCCATCCCTTTTAAATATTAGTGGCTACGACCCAGCATCAATAAAAACATGCCAGACCACACGATTGTGCAAACATCTATAAACGGAATTTTGTGACAAAATGATAGCATTGAGTAGACCAGGGTGGTCCAAACCCAGGCCTGCCGCTTCATTATCTGTGGCCCGCATCACATTCGGAGAGTATAATCAAAATATGGCATTTCGTGTTGTTTCGTAATAAAATTAATCAGAAAAATCTTTTGACATATTGTTATCACTAATGTCACTAAATTGACTAGTGTCATGACTAGCTGAGGCAACTAGCGAAGTTGAATGAGGTGCTTGGCAATCTAAATTAATATCTGGCTTTCTATCTTTTTGGTCAGGAATATAAGATTACAATATAGGCATCATAAAAAACTAAAAATAAAATGCGGATTCTAATAGCCTGAGATGGCTATGTCTAATGTGTTTGCACAGTAAAAGAGTTTGTTTTGTATTGCACCGTTTACCTATTCTTGGCACTATTGTGGCCCACGAACAATGCAAAAATAGTTTTGTGGCCCGCGGAGCCGGCAACCTTGGACCAGACCCTGGAGTAGACTATAACTTACTTTTAAATAAGCCATTGTAATCAGTGGCAACAGAGTAAATGGCACAAGATACAGAAGGGCTGGCTGAGCGCTTCGGTTAACTTCCGATGCAATGGTTGCTGTGATGAGGCCTGAAAAAGAGAGTGTAGTTAGTAGGTTAGGATTCGATTTACATATTCATCCAACGAGAGAGGAAAATCGATAAGATGGCATAGTAATATGGCAAACCACGGCCTCTCGTCCAAGTCTGGTATGGAAATAGTCAACCAGTTATTTGTTCAAATGTATGGATTTTTATTTTTCATCGCCAAAACGTTGCTTCAACAAAACTGAGTCAAGTCTCAATAGGATTTTGTTAATGATAAGTCCCAAGACATTTCATTTAGATGACTTGCATCACTTCAGGCCTTTGATAATTGGTGATTCTAGTTTCATCCAAACTTTTTGGGCCGCGGAACCCTGTTTTAGAATCTTATTTTTGACATACTATGCCGTATCAATTCCTGTGCCTAACCAACGAGAAAGGGTAATGTTTCATTTACGTCACAATAACACGAACAATATTAATGTGTTGGATGAGAATGCTTTCGACTGGACAATTAATCAATTGTCGTAGCAATTGGTGACAAGCAAATTTGTTGGTCCGACAAGACCCCCTGTGCAGTCATCATGCCCCCAGTTTGGGAATCACTGCTCTTGTTGATCTTATGATTCAGGACTATTCAACTAGTTTTACCCGAAGATCCGCATACAAAACTTCCAAATTATTTGAGTCAGGTGTTTCCAGAAATTATATTTCGGCATCCTTGAACGTGCATTTCTTCGACCTATTAGCTAATCAATGTTTTTTATCGTGGTGTTATAGTTTTTTCCACATATATTCAAAACAATAAAAGTCATTTTATAAAATGAAACTTCAAGTGGGGCTAATGATCCAAAATAAACAATTAGGTGCGGTCCGAATCAAATACTCGAAAGGTCCGGATTTGGACCGCGGTCCGCCAGTTGAGTAGCCTGCTTGAGTTGACTGCTATAAGTTAAACCCCATTTCGTCATATGATTGTTTCAAAACTGGCATTTAGTTGATGATTAGTCTAAGTTATTCCGTTTAGATGACTCGTCTTTAATACATGGCGACTCGAGTTGATTCAATAGCATGAACCCGCCCGCGCTTTAAAAAATGGTTTCTAAAACTGCCATTAAGTTCGAGCCATTCCATTTATATGACTCCAGTCACCACCAACACTGGTCATTTCAAATTCGTTTTTATATCGGCAATTCGTGTATAAAAATAAATCAATAACTTACCGATAAAATATCCCAAAAGTGTGCAATGAAAGTACCGCACTCTGTAGATCAAATTCCCAGCAGCAAGAGGGACATACCCCTCCCCCTCTAGTCTTTGTTTTTTATAATTGTCATAGCGAAGAACAAAGCATAGCAGAAGCCCTGGCATCACAATATCACCCAGACCAAGCATAGAGAAATGCTCACTGCCGTAACTGAAAAATAACAAATTGTTTAGGTTGAATAAACAATAATACAATTTTGATGCAGTAGTTGGCCCATAGTTGAGGCTGTTCGGCTAATCATCAAAAAACAAACACCGTACAACAGCCATTGTGAAGACATATATTGATGCCTTACTGGAGTGCCTTACTATGGAGTTGTAAACAATAGCTAGTGTGTAGTTAAATATCAAGTCTGTCTGTCATCATATGACACAGGGTTAAACAAACTAATGACACAAAAAATCTGTCCGTCTTTGGAAGGCGAAATTACCCAACACAAAAGAGGGATAATAATCTCTCACCTTGGGAAAACTAACTTTCCAGGTAATGATAGTTGAGGAGCATCCTTGCCCATTCCGAGGTTTAATTTACGAGCGACTACGCCAACCTGGAAAGAAATAAAACATTTTGCAACTGTTTGGAATATATTTGGAGCATTAAGTAAATTAAAAAGTATAGATTCTTTGCAGACCACACGTCAAATCACAATCCCTGACTTGTACTAGAGATAGAAAAGGTCGAAAAAAATATTATACAGCATTTCATACTTGCGAAAAAAATTTACAAATTTTTTTGTGAAATCTTTCACTTTAGAAAATTTTTTTCTCACAACTCGCTGTCTAACAGTGTTGGGTTGAAGCAAATAAAGTCTTGTGCGACACCATATCATCAGAAACCTATTTCTTGCGAATGTAAGTAAATACTTTTTCGACTCATTAACTAGATCTAGCTTATGTGGAGTAAACTACATAAAATGTAAATATCTTCATAAACAGGCAATACTGTATCTCTGTACTCTTTCTACTTCCAAGTGAAATCTGGATTTTGCTTTGAGCAAATTTAAATAAAAACATGGATGACTGGGAGTAAAATTTTTTTCATGGCGTTGGGGGATGTGGATAAAATTTCCTTTATCACAGTTAAACAATTTTTTTTACTTACTGGGTTATCAGCTTGAGCTGTGGCAACCTGCACCATGACATTAGCACTGAAGATATAAGATGAAAAGAAAACCCAGAACACGTCGTAAATTAGCAGACCGGACAGCAGAAGACACGAGACTTTGAGGCTTGGTAAACGTAACAAAGCTATCATTGATACGCAGAGTCCCATACTAAGAGCTGTGAGATAAAAAGATGTGAGTTAGTGTAGCCTACATGACAACAATATTCCAAAAAGATCACGATCTGACAATCAGCACTTGGAAATGATCCAATGCTAAGGAAAAGACCGAATATTTGTTTTGCGAAAACTTAAGGCGTAAGAATGATTGAATAGTCAGAAAACGTTCACACTCCCCTGGGACTCTTAGCCACATAAAAACGACTGCGGGTTGACAAAAATTTAGATTAACGGCTCCCAAAACACAGTTCGTGGGCAAATTACAGCCCGCCAAACTTGAGTGAAATAGTTTAACACTCTATGATTCTACTTTTTTGAGTTCTAGATATCACCAATTGTTACGCTTATCTCTTCCGGACCTTGGCCAATCAACTTTGGGAACCACTGATTCAGACCATGACCCCAGGTATGGAAAAATCAAATTCTAATAACTGTATCTGTAGCATATACATGCTTTCTTCAATTGTCTTCAGTGAATTCAATGACTTTAAAAATATCGTTAACTCAGTATAAATGTGTATAATTAGTAAATGCCCATAAACATAACCAAAGTAATCTCCTAAGACACATTAACAGGAATGAGCTCTCATGTACATAGCGCACATGGCTATTTCAACTTCACAGCTGGTTGGTCATGATAAATCATCTGTGACTGATGACATCACAGGTCATGCTCAGCCATCGGGGAAAATGCTAGTTGCCAGAAATACAATAAAGATACAGTTAACCAATATGACTTCAGCTTCAATGAAAATTTGAAAAACTTCGCAGCCCTGATTTGTTGGCCAAAGTCATTGGATATGATTTACATATTTATTAAAAGCCAATGAGACGGCTCAATCATATGGTGAACCACGGCCTCTTGTCGGTTACCAGTCCATGTTGGGTATAGAATTAGTTAGTCAGTTACTTGTTGCCAGATGCACGGACTTGATGATGTAGGAAGCCACCATGACACCTTATATTTCGATTGAGCAGACCTATACAAAACTTACTTACCATCCATTAGAATCCAATGCCCAGTAAAAACCCAGACTGATACGAACAATATTGCGAGTACAAGAGAGAGTAGTTCAGCTGGAGTGAAACGACCACATAATCCAAAAGATATTCTGTAGAAGAAAAAAAAAAGACTTTAGCACAAGGGTCTTAAACTCGCGGTACAGGGGCCGATTGCAGCATGCAGGACGATAGTTTGTGGTGCCCGCCTTAGTATAAAAGTTTAATGTTAGCTCGATTAATGATTAAGACATTTATTATAATTTATAAGTTCTTGGATTATTGACGTCACAATCACTAATGATTATTATCTTCAGTTATTTTTTATTTAGCCTTAATTTGTTTTGTATTTGAAACAATAAAGAAATTTGAGAATATTTGAATTTTTTAAACTAAGCTTTCATTGTGGAAAACGGCCCAGATCCACACAGACTCTGCATCCAGTGGCCCCTAGGTGAATTGAGTTTGGGTTCCCAGCTTTAGCACATGAATACTACATTCTTGGTGATGCTTGGGAAAGGAAAAATGTTGGGGTTCCCATTATGCACTTTTTAAATATCAATTTTCTTTCTAGAAAACTTTTTACCTAAGAATGAGATTGAAATTTAAAAAAAAAATGAATGTTATTAATGGGAAGAAAAAATTTAAAATTTTGAAAATTCTTTAGGCTGCCTTTTCCAACAATTATTATTCTAAAAATCCTATTCATGAGAGAAGCTGGCTAGTCCATAATGATCAACCAATTATTGTTAAATTACATTTTTCTTGTTGTTTCTGTTAAAATTTTTGTGATAATAAAAATCTCTCCACTCAAGCTTCCAAACCACTCTGAAACCACTTTTTTGTCTCAAGATTCCCATTCAATACAGATTATTACTCACTTTTTATTCTGAGCACACGGTCTCATGAAATACTGACACATTGGTAACATCAAAAAAGCAAATGCAGAAGCGGCAAGAACTGAAAAAAAATAAGATTATTATGAGAATTTGTGGCACACTTATTCATTTCGTAGCATCAATATTATTTATGGCCATATTTTAGATATTTGTGGCATTATGTGACAATGTAAGGCACTACATGAAAATAGGTCATCAATATTAGTTCATGTGTCTCGATTATCATTTACACAGCATCATTATTGATATTTGTGGCATTGTGTGACAATGTAAGGCACTACATGAAAATATGGCATCACAGACATAATATGAGGTGTCACCCCTAAAAACTGTTACTGTGCATTACAAAGTGAGGCATATTTTGACTGACATGAGGCCTTACCTAAAGTCTTAATGAACAAATAAAAAATGAACAGACTTACTTGCAGTACAAATAGCAAAAACAAGTTGCATTGAATCAAAAAAGAAAAACATAATAAGAAGAGAGACAGAGGCTCCGATAGGAAGACATAGTGCCTGAGCGGAGTCGATTGTTTGGAATCCCGCTGAAAGAAAAAAAAGTTAAATTAACAGTGTAAAAAAAGTGTGATAAACCCCGGCGGTGTGGCACATCGGGCTAAGCGTTAGGAATACGCTCATCACAGCACCTCTGCGTAAGTATGCAGGTTCGAATCCGGTGGAGGAAAAATTATGTGCGAGAGGATTTCTGGACTCGTCATCGCAGTAGAGGGGTTCACATACCCGCTGGTGGGGTCACGGCTTCTTAGTCGTTTCATTTGAACACACTAGTTTCTTGTGGGTTTGCCACAATTCTAGGGATATTGAGAACACGAACCATTGTTGGTATTTTAAACGCTCAAGTCTGAATGTCAGACTTCCACTAATGGTGACAATAAGACAGAAATCAGAGATCATCTGATTGACAATCTATTCGCAACAAACAGAAAAATTGTGTATACGTACAAGTTTTTGAGTGTTTGTGTTTCACCCTTTGAGTGTTTGATAAATAGTGACTCAAGTTGAGACAATGGCAAAAACTTACTGAACTGTTTTCTTGGACTCTGTTTGTCATAAATTGTGTCGAAATAGTCAGACAACGACCTAATTTAGGGTTGGGAGAATCAAAGAAAATATATATAACCAACTTCAAACACCTGGTCGGGCCACACAAAAAAATTAGTCAATTTAGGTGTGAAGGGCGAGAGAATGTGGCTATCCCATATTCTTCCAGTACTGAAACACCGAGCAAACCGGCGAAAGATTTAACACAACGACGAAGGCAAAATATATTTTGTAATTTCACCCATGTGAGCACCTTTTTAAGCATTAACTGTCAGATTAGGATTTTATACTGGACGAGTAAAAACCTGAGCGTTGGCAAGTGCCACAGTAAATGGTTTGACAGCCGGAGTTGTGGCCCGCGGGCCCCTTGCTGCAGAGCCCTGTATTGAAGCATGTTATGGACTTTTCCCTCTCTCGCAGATAAATACACAAACTCGGTATTATCATGGTATTGCTCCAACACTAATTTTTTTATCTTTTATATTTAGGCGCTCACGAAGTATGTGTACCAAGATGGCGCACAGCCTGAACCCTAACATGGTACATCAACTATGTTCAGGTTGTGCGCCATCTTGGTGCAAATACTTCGGCGAGCTCGAATATTTGTTCTGTTTTTTTTTTAAGTTTAAATTACCAAAAGTCTGTCAACAACAAAATAAGCCAGCGCAAACTTTGGTCTGAAATTGTTTGAAAAGCCTCCTTGATAACAATAGCCATCAGGTCATGATGTGTGTAATCATGTTTCCTGTTGGTGTTTTTGTGGCGAACTTGAGGTTTTGAGAAAAGGAAATCGGATATCGGTGAATTGGATTTTTCTTTCTTCCGTAAAAAGCAAACACATCAAAATCAATGAGTACAAAGTTTCACTTGTGAAGAAAAAGCAAAAAATTATTTGCCAGGAACACGTTAAGAACACGACCAACAACTCAATACAGAGGCCTATATGAATGACAAGGTTATGGGATATAAATGAATTGGAATTTGTTCTCTTCAGTAAAAAGCAAACACATCAAAATTAGTTGGCACAAAGTCTTACTTGTGAAGGAAAGAAATGGGGTTAAAAAGAAGCGACACCCACGTTTGTGATATCGAGCAATCAGCGAAAACAGTATTTGCCAGAAATAATAAAAGTATACAATCAACAAGTCTAACTGTATATAGATTAAACATAAAACATAAGAAAAACATGAGGCATCTATAAATAAAAGATGGGAGAAAACATAAAAAAGGATTTTCAACACTTACAAGTAACATCATTAACAACGGACGACCCACTTCCTCCTTCGTTAGATTTACTTCCTGGATTGCTCGGCTTCTGGTCCATGTTTATTGACCTGTGACCAAAAGAAAACAAAATTCTCAGAAGAGGCCAAAGTGAAAATAGTGTGTAATCAGATGTATGTCATGCTAAACATCCAGAATCCCTCGTTGGGTTGCAAAAGGGCTCAATGGGTGTCACCACAATAAAATCTTTTTCGACACTAACTCATGTTAAAATAAAATATCAATCAAATTTGGAAGATTTGTAACCAGTACCCATCCACCATCACCGAAATACAGCCAAGATTCGAACTTTTGTGCGAGAATATTGGCAAGCACATCAGTCACATTGAAAGTATTGCCGAATTTATTTTTTTATGTTCACTTTATTTTGATCTTATTTCCTGAGGGTCGAGGAATAATTGACCGGGTCAAGTGGGTCGCGATGAAAAAAGTTTGAAGAACGCTGACATACTAAACTATAGTGTCTCAGCCAGTAATCTGTCCAAGTTTGGTCTAGGAATAGCTAGTGAGACATTTATATCCATTCCAGATGCATGGACTTGGCAATAAATGCTTGTGCTTATCTTTTTTCGACGACCTCTCCTTGAAATCCTGTAATGCTAATCGATATAATCCACGAAACAAAAGCATTATTATGTCACAACCATGTTTATTAATCCATGCAGACAAGGCGCTAATTCACGAAAACAGAACAATCTTAAAATACTTCACATTCAGAAATAGATGAGTATTATTGTCTGTGTCTTAATAAAATGGTGCTCAAAATTTAATATAATCCCCAAAAATGCAGAATATAACTAAAATTAGTTATGCTCGTCAAACTAAATTCTTGAATTTAGAAATATTTTAGAAAATTTGCATTTATTAATAAATCTTTCTCTTTCAAACCAGAAACCTATCAATAAGGAAAGATATTGGAGTACAACACAATATGGTTTAATAGAACAAAAATAAAATATTTGCCTTCAGGCAATACAATTCAATGTTTTCATTTATTTCAATGCGTCTATGTATGACCAAAACCGAATAACCTAGCATACCGAAATAGTATTTTTAAGCATGAAACATAGTATATACAGGGACGTGTCAAGAAGAGGGAGGGCGGGCCATAGCGGCAACACATTATAGGAATGAGTTTGTTGCTTAGTTCGGTTGATTTAAATAATAACAATACAAAATTTTCACTCTTACATGAACTTTAATTTAATTCATTCTCATGTATAACAACATCTATAATTTGTTTATCCCCAAGTCATTTTTGAAGTTAGGTATAAGGGGCATCATTATCAGAAACTGTACCGGCATCAGAAAAGTTTGACACGCCCCTGAGTATATATTGTACATGCTTTTGAAATCTTAGTAACTTCAGGATTTACCAAGCCTGATTGTAGATAAACTATACAACTCAGGCACAGTCGTGTAAGTCGTTCAAGCAAGGTGTAAAACTTTTTTGATTAATTGATAAATACGAAGAGAACAGACTTATATAGTGCTTAAGTTGTTTGAAGAGTCCATTCATAAGCCACAATCTTGTAACCAGTGACCACTATTACTTCACAATTAGAAACAATTGTTCAGTTTGACAGCCATTGAAGTTATGGGCACTCACTCAGAAGTAAAGGAGACTCATCTATGAGCAAAGTTACAGGCACTCACTCAGAAGTGAAGGAGACTCACCTCTAAGCAAAGATATGGGCACTCACTCAGTAGTAAAGAAGACTCATCTTTGAGTAAAGTTAGGGCACTTACTCACAAGTAAAGTATACTCATCTCTGATCAATGTTACGGGCACTCATTCAGAAGTAAAGAAGACTCATCTATGATCAGGTATAGATCTATGGTGATGTTAAATTGTTAACCACCAGTAAATGTTGATGGATGTGGGACTAAAACCAGTTCAAGACAATTTGATTTTCGAATAAATTTTTGAATAGTTATCTACAGCAGAAAACTGGAAGATTGAAAGCATGAACGCTTAGTGCATTGCAATCTGAGATTCAAATCCCACAGGAAATTGTGTCACATGGCAAATAATTGTTGAAGGCGATACTGGTGACGGAATTATTCAGCTTTGGTCCGCCTATCTGGGCCATTCCAAGCAAAAGTTGAACTCCATCAATTTTTCAAAAAGTGTAGTGAAAGTAATTTTTTTTCATTTTTGATATCAAAAAGACATTGGAATTTCATTGGACTGCATTCATTTCATCGAACAATTTAAAATTTCACCCAGGTTTTTGATGGTTTATAAAAAATGGCCTGAAATGTAGAAATTTTGGTATAATTGACATATTTTGTGATGATTCCTGACACAAAGTGTTTGATTGTGTAATACAGTTATTTCATATGGAATTGACGCACTGGATTTAATTTAATAAAGTTTGAATGTTTGCAGTGCTGTAGAACATTTCTTCACCCATTTAACGATTTATCACCAGAATTTTAAGAGATGATAGATGCCGCTATTCCGAAGTGGAAAAATGTCCTGTAGTGTCACGTCCTGTAGTGTCACATACAATATGCATATTATTGGTATGGATTTTACAGTGTTACATTAAGTAACTTGAGCAACACATAGAGGGGTAGTTCAGCTACTGCACCAGAAAATATTATGGGCTCCTACTGTACCATCGCATAAATTTACAGCACAACACAACGTACTGTTAGTGCATGGTGGATTTGCCGTCCTGTAATGTCACGCTATATTTTACTATATTTTTTTTGTCTACTCAGTAAGGTTGGGTGTAACTTTTGTGCAATTTTTTACATATTCAATAAAGCAACTGATTGGACAATGAAACAAAACATGTAGCTGAAAATGTGAAAATATATTGAATTTAACAACATGCAAAATTTCTGGAATTGTCCTGTAGTGTCACTTGGAATAGCCCATCTATTATCAAACAGGAAATGTTTCAAATTACAAATAATTTCAAAATTCATGATTTCAATTTATTTGATATGAATGACTGAATATTTGAAACATTTCCTCTGCAGAGAATTTCTATAATCAGACAGGATGTGTCTCAATTTACCAATTATCATATTACAACAAAGAATCACAAGCAGGCGGATCTAAGTATGTTGCCGGCATGTATAATCATGACAAAGATATATATCAGTACAGTACCTCCAAACCTTTGCAGCGCTAGTAAAACTGATTTTTTTCAAAGCAACATTACCTGGACCTCCAGAAGTATGTGCACCAAGATGGCACACAACCTGAAAATAGTATGTGTACCCGGTTGGGGTTCAGGTTGTGCGCCATCTTGGTGCACATACTTCGGGAGCGCCCATTACCCTATCCTGAGTGATTTAAGAGTCTTGCTGCACACTAACACACTGCTGTAACGATGAAACTTTAATAAAATTTTCCAGGATAGTTATCTTCCCTCTTGCTACAGCATCCTTGCATTATACACATACGGATCCAACAGCGGAAAAGGATACTTACATAGCCCCATAGAAGCTTAATTTATATCACAAACCCTATTTATACTTCAATTATGTTTGTTCGAAAGTCTGCTTTTGGTCACACGAAACATTACAGAAATATATTCATGTAAGTGTGCAGCAAGACTCTTGAATCACTTAGGATAGTTATCTTTACTCTTGCTACAGCATCCTTGCATTATATGCATACAAATTCACTTTCACAAGAAGCATTGAAAAAGGATAAGTTGTTATTACAACAGAAAACCAATCGATAGCACTAGTTACCATCAATCAACATGATTTCAGATATTTTTACCCAGCCCAAGTCAAGTTTGGCGGTGTCGTCGATTTTTCCTATCAAATACAAACAAAAACCGTCTCATACATGGAGATAAGATGTCGAAAACTTTCACAGCCAAAAACAAACAGAATAAACAAACAGAACAATCTACTATTTTGTGGAATATGGAATGTCAAATGTATCATTCAAATCTGAAAATTTAATATATGAAATTGATGGTCTTCCCTATAATTATATTCAAAATCATATTTTATACAGAGCATTCCTAAAGCTCTTAAAAGCCTGTATTCAAAATACATATACTCACAATCAACATGGTCTATCAATGAATGAGTATGAATGAAAAATGATCTATACATTGACTTTCTCGCAAAGTATGGCCCAAGTTATAACAAATTAAAAAGCCAGTATTTGAAATACACACATTCACGATCTACGTGTTCTATCAATGGATGAGTATGGACAGCGAGCGAATGCAATAGAATTCATGATTCAAAAATATTTTGAACAAAATTTTTAGTTTAACTGCTGAATAGCTCTTTAGAATTCGTCACTTTACAAACCTCTACCTCACGATATGGTTTTATAATAATGCGATATAAAAACTAGAAAAAAAAATAAATCCTTAAAATTTCAGCGCTGTCCATTTCTCAGTATCAATTAACAATAATCAAACCAAATTTGATTAATTATTCCTGTAATATTGATTAAACAAAATGGCATAACACAACTCCGCCACAAACGCTGCGTAATCATTTTCATGACATATCACTCTCTCATAGTAAAATGAACATGACTTAAAAATGAATTGAAGTAATGCTTTTCCTAAATTATTTCAACAGAATTCCCAATATTTTAGCATATTTTAATATTCAAAATGTCCAAAATAAAAAATTCGAATACATCCAAAATTGCTTATAGTCTAAATTTTTTTGGATAAATTTGGAAGTTTCATTTGAAACATTTGCATTTCAAGTCTTACAATACGAGCGAAAACTCCTTTCAATTAATTTTAGAAAAGAAAAAAACAATTAAATCACAGTTTTCCCTAATTTTTACTCATCATCAAATTTAAATTCATTAAGTTGACGTTTTGGCAATCTGTATGATGGATAAATACAAAAGACAGAAAACGCACCTGAAACTGCCATAAACAACCAGAAGAATAGCAATCACAAAAGTAGAAACTCTGGATGAATCGAGAACTGAAAACGCCCTGAAAATAAAAACATTGAATAGATCGACCAAATTATACTGATATTGCCTTTTATGCTAAAATGGCTCGTTATGGCTCGTTAATAATCAGAGTTCATTCATTCCATAGCCTTTCATCCAGGGCCTCGGATGAAAATGTTTATTTTCTTCATGCAAGAATATGCGACATGAAGAAATAATAAAATGGAAATTTGACTCTTAGCAGCTGGTAAGAGGGTCTTGAAAGACTCAGTGAGCCATCCAGTCAGCGATACCTTGATCATGTGCTGAATTTCATAAATAAATTCAACACTTCAGCCATTAGGCCATTGTGTGCAAAGTTTCATTGCAAAGCAAGCTGTAATTGACCAGTGTTTGCATGAACAACCCAAAGAAAGCCAGGAGTAAAAACAATAAACTTACCAAGTATAACTTCCTTTATCAATGGAGACAGAAAGCGGTATTTCTTTCACATTCGACAAGTCTTGTAGCTGCTGATTAGGCTCAGCCTGCTGCTGATTTTGAGCCTGAGGCTCTGCAGCAACGGCGTTTTCTAGTTGAGCTACCTCATTAGAGCTCATTTTTACGGCCCCTAAATTGTCCTGCGCACCAGCAATCGCAATGTGAAAAATCAACATGAGTAATATTGTCGGAACAATTCGAACTTTCCGCCACACGGGACGAATATATGGTTGCCTGGAACATTTCTGCGGAGACTGACAAACTAGTTTTTGTTCAGTTCTGTAATTTTGGAACATATCCTCTATGTCCATGTTAAATGAACATCTGCAATAATCCATTTTCTTTGACAGAATAAATCCCACAACAATGCTCACCGACGCGTGAGGAACATGTAGGAACTGACTATTCTACTTCAAACACTGAATAACAAAATAGGTCAGATTAGTAAAAGTAATAAAAACTAAAATAAAACCGAGAGCTATATACAAGCCTATCCTTGCAATAGAGAAGTACATTACAGTACAAATGACATACATAGAGCCAGTTTTATGTATCCAAGTTCGCTCAAAGCAGAGTTCAAATTCTCAACTAAAAATGAAAGTGTACTGATAAAATTCTTGTACACGACTACAGATTATATGAAAATCTTCTCCTCCCACAAACCTACTTGTGCTGGGTTTCATATGATCAACGTGACCAAACTTGCTGAATGAGGGGGAACACCGGTTGGATACTTCGGGGGGAGGATCTTCATATGATCCGCAATTACTAATGTGCTAATACTTATTCTATAAATATGCATGATGAAATCACAATCCTTGTAGTTAAATTATGTATGACATCATGGAAGTATATATAATGAACTCAGAGGTGTGGTGCATCATGCTTAGCGTTACGAATACACTTGTCAGTTAACGCACCTCTGATTACCCTGCGTTGGTTTGCAGGTTCAAATCCAGTGGCGGATAATTATGTGCGAGAGAATTGCTGGACTCCTCACCGCCGTAAGGTGGTTTACGTAAGCGCTAGTTGGTTACGACTTCCTCCAACATCAAGTCCATGCATCTGAAACAAATAATCCCATACCAGACCTGGACTGGTAACTGGACGAGAGGCCGGGGTTCTCCATATGATTAAGCCGTCTTATCTACTTTCCTCTCCCCTGGATTAATATGTAAACCATTATCTATATAATGGTGAAAGTGAACATCAAGGCTCCTAAACCACACGTCTATCCTTTCTATCAGTGACAGAAAACTCGAAACATAAGCTTCTATACTTGTACAACAACGCTAACTACTGAATAATTAATAACATTATAGACATAAACCACTCTGACCAAACTAAAGCTGTAAATTTCACGGTTTGGTGCACTTAACATAAAAAGTAATGAAGCGTGACTGATCAGAATAATTCTAACTGAAATAGGAAATGCCAATGCTGTCAGTCATGCTTCTCTGATTAATACTAGTGAGTGGTTGCTACTAGAAATTCTACTATTCTATTTCAAATATAACTTATTTAAGCCAGAAACAGGAGTCAAAATCTGTCAATTTTTTATCTCCGTGTCCAACTTTCAATTAGAAGTTAATAAAGCCAAAGTTTAAACGAAATAGACTATCATGGGCACCAAAATGATTTTACTTTCCACTTTACAAGAAAACTCCCTTTCTTCCTAGTTTCATTGCTTGACAAAGTTATTTCACAGAATGTTTTAACTTTGTTGAGCAATAATTGTTTGAACATAATGGGATTTGGAATCTACCAATCATAATAACAATATGAATACCACTGGAATGATAAACAGGGGGGCAAGGAGTTATACGAGTCTGCGGATGGGCCCACAAGCAATAAAAGGTTGAGAAACACTGACGTTGCAATGCTGAATCTGAAATATTTTAATCTTTATAATCATAGTTGTTGGTTCCCTAGCAATGGTTGCTCGTACAGAGTGTACAATGTATGAAAATGTAATAAAGAATACCTAACTATTTAGAACTTGGCAATCTCACTCAGTACACGAACTCAAGTGACTCTAAATGCTATAAAACAAGTCGCACCCATTAACCAAACAATAAAATAATAAATTAACCAATAAATTACTCGTTTTACTACCTCGACACACAAATTGAGCAAACTCAGGCTTTTGCAAAAGTCTGCTCAAAGTATTAAACCACATTCAAAAGAGTTCTCATAGATTTAAACGAATACTAACTAAGAAGCACACACAAAGGCCAATTTCTTTTCATATTGATTCCACAGTTTAAATTTAATTAAAATAAGTACTCGAGGCCTCAACTAAAAGTGGAAAGAGTACTGATATAAGAGTTGCAAGTTTGCTCAAGGTAAGGTCCTGAGCCTTCAACTAAAAGAGAAATAGTAATGAAAATCTTATGCTTGATTCACTAGCCCCAACCATTAAACCCATAATGAAGGCCATCAAAACAATTATCGATAAACTTGAACTACAGCAGATCAAAACACAGTCATAGCCCGAGGCGAAATGTCACGTTAATAACAGAGGCCTATAGTAATACTAAGCCATTTAAAGCTTACAACGATGCTGCCAAACGACCTATTGACCTCTGTTAAATTTAGAACAATTATGATCAAATAGAATCATTAAAGCATGACTAGACAGAATATTCTTGTTCTAAATTGTCTAAATACTGTCAATTCTGATAAAAAATCATTGAAGCATAACTAGACAGAATATTCTTGTTCTAAATTGCCTTAATACTGTCAATTCTGATAAAAAATCATTGAAGCATCCCTAGACAGAATATTTTTGTTCTAAATTGTCTTAATACTGTCAATTTTGACAAAAAATCATTGAAGCATAACTAGACAGAATATTCTTGTTCTAAATTGCCTTAATACTGTCAATTCTGATAAAAAAATCATTGAAGCATAACTAGACAGAATATTTTTGTTCTAATTTACCTTAAAACTGTCAATTCTGATAAAAAATCATTGAAGCATAGCTAGACAGAATATTCTTGTTCTAAATTGCCTTAATACTGTCAATTCTGATAAAAAATCATTGAAGCATAACTAGACAGAATATTTTTGTTCTAATTTACCTTAATACTGTCAATTCTGATAAAAAATCATTGAAGCATAACTAGACAGAATATTTTTGTTCTAATTTACCTTAATACTGTCAATTCTGATAAAAAATCCTTAAAGCATAACTAGACAGAATATTTTGTTCTAATTTACCTTAATACTGTCAATTCTGATAAAAAATCATTGAAGCATAACTAGACAGAATATACTTGTTCTAAATTGCTTTAATACTGTCAATTCTGATAAAAAATCATTGAAGCATAACTAGACAGAATATTCTTGTTCTAAATTGCCTTAATACTGTCAATTCTGATAAAAAATCATTGAAGCATAACTAGACAGAACATTTTTGTTCTAATTTACCTCAATACACAATTCTGATAAAAAATCATTGAAGCATAACTAGACAGAATATACTTGTTCTAAATTGCCTTAATACTGTCAATTCTGATAAAAAATCATTGAAGCATAACTAGACAGAATATTCTTGTTCTAAATTGCCTTAATACTGTCAATTCTGATAAAAAATCATTGAAGCATGACTGGTCAGAATATTCTTTATAATTTTCTGGTTATTTTTATGGTGAAACTACACCAAATGGTATTTTTTTGTTTACTCTAACTTTAACCAATAAGACTGCTTGAGCAAAGGTTTTTCATATCTATTTGAGGGAAAGGAAAGCGACAAGATGGCCTAATTACACGGCAAACCAGTCAAGTACAGGAATAATGATCAGTTATTTTCCCATATACATAGACTTGACAGATTTACTGTTTGTTTATCTTTCTAAAAGATTAGAAACCCATGTTGTAAAAGTTTATTGCCATGTTTACAAAATAGATGTGGCGGTGTGGCACATTAGGAATAAGCGTCAGGAATACGCGGGCCACCGCATCTTTGATTACCCTTCGTTGGATCGCAGATTCGAATCCCAAGCAGGGATGATCATGTGCGAGAGGATTGCTGGACTCCTCGCCGCCGTAGGGTGGTTCACGTAACCGCTGGTTGGTTACGGCCAGGGATGGCCAATACCGAATAGTTCACTATTTCGAATACATTCAAAATTATTTTTTTCGAATATGAAATTTCGAATACTTCTGTAAAATCCACTAATGGAAGAATTGTGACCAAAAATCGATACCCTCAACTATCGTTATCAGAATTATTTGCCAGAAATTATTTTCTAATAAATCGACTTGTTTTTTCAGACTTGCGACAATTTATTGGATATCGTAACAATGACGGCTATAAATACCGTATTTCCCCGGCTAATAAGTCCACAAAGCAAATGGGACGATGTCTATTTTTGGCACTCAAAAAAGGGGTTTTTCCATATGGGCCTCCAGTAATATGGGTAGAAAAATTGTGTCCCTGTTGTTCAGTTATGCTGATATGCGCTAATAATTTTATATGTTTAGAACCAGATCATGTTAGTTTGGTAGAATCATACTCACAGAATTAACTATTTTTAAAAATCGAGCGGTAAATTTAAGTTGTAAAGCGGCAATCATTTTGGACAATCTTTTAACCCGAATGTTGAAATAATTTTGGAATGTGATAAGTAATACACTGTATACGTCCACGGGTTATTTCACAGCTGTGTTTTCCTGTCGTGTTCTGCTGAATCGGCAAAACGGTTTCTCTTTAAAGTAAAGATAACCGGCCTGCGATTGAACATCATAAAATACGGTAACTGTCAATTTTTCGACCTAATGAAAATGAATTTGTAAATTAAAAGCCTCGTAGACGAATGTCGGCAAAGACAGAATTTAAACAATCAAAGCGCCGATTCTATTTCATCGTCATTACAATACGTGAGACAGCCTAAAAATTTGTTTGAAGATTCCTGTAAAACGAAACACCACCGATTACAAGTTCATATAGAGTATGGGATTAGTTAGTTGTTGTTTTCAAACGACAATGGGTTATGTGATCCACTCTACGGCAACAATCCTCTGGCACATAACTATCACCACATGGGATTCGAACCTGCAAACCCACACAAGGTAATCAGAGGTGCGGCGGCGAGCATATTCCTAAGCCTAGCATGATGCGCCACACCGCCGGAAGATTCATTCACAAACAATCTTAATGATTACTCCAAGTGATTTAAAAATCTTGCTGCACAACAACACTATTATATCCTGTGAAGTATCTTCAGTCACATTTATTCAGATAAACATGACTGTAATAATAATAATGACGCAACATTTCATAGGAGGGGGGGACAGAAAGTGGCCTGTTCTTTGGTAAATTAGGCACAAAAATAATTAGGTTTAAGCAACGCCTTATTCAGATAGAAACATTCATATCTAAACTTGGATACTGGGATACTGATATTATAAATGTAAGTTCATTT